GAAAAACTGCCAGTCACCACCTTAAAAAGAAAAGGAGAGGGAGAAGTAAAAATGATTCTATGAGGGCAGATGGCTCAAAGGCCGGGCATGGGAGGCCTGGCTTCAGTCCCTGGCACCACATGGTCCCCTAAGCAGTGCCAGGTGCAACCCCCGAGCACAGAGTTAGGAGTGATCCCTGAGTACAGAGACAGGAGTGGTCCCTGAGCACTAACTAGTAGGTATTTCCCCAAAGCCATAAGCAGCCAAAAATATGTATAATTGATGCAACATGGAAAATCCCCTTTTGCAATAGTTCTCACAAGGATTTATTTGGTTTCGTCTTATCTTTTTTATTATTTTAGTTTTTGGGTCACACCCAGCAGTACAGGGCAGCTGCACCCAGTCTGGACTCAGGAGTCACCCCTGGGGGGGGGGCACCCTGTGTGTATCCACACCGCCCCCAGCTCAGGAATGCTTTTTTTTTTTTTTTTGGCTTTTTGGGTCACACCCGGTGATGCTCAGGGGTTACTCCTGGCTCATGCACTCAGGAATTACACCTGGCAGTGCTCGGGGGACCTTATGGGATGCTGGGACTCGAACCTAGGTCGGCCCGGGGCACGTGCAAGGCAAACGCCCTCCCTGCTGTGCTATTGTTCCAGCCCCTAGGAGCGTTTGGCTTGTTTCAAAGATTTGCTGTTCCAAATCAAACAGCAAGAAACATCTCTGGACTGTTTTGTGTGTGTGTGTGTGTGTGTGTGTGTGTGTGTGTGTGTGTGTGTGAACAAACTTTACCTGCCTCTAGGGCTTGCTGGGTTTGAAAAGAAATGTGTGAGCAAACATTACGAAGAGCTGCTTACCCGTTCTGCCAAGTGGCCAGACCACTTTGTACTCCCCCCTGCAAGTTGTTCTAAATTCTCATTAACACTTGACATTGTCAAAGTAAAAACAAAAGAATTTAGCTATTTTAATAGGTGTGTGGGAGTCCTTTATTCTGATTTTATTTTATTTTTTTGCTTTTTGGGTCACACCCGGTGATGCTCAGGGGTTACTCCTGGCTCGTGCACTCAGGAATTACTCCTGGCGATGCTCGGGGGACCATATGGGATGCTGGGAATCGAACCTGTGTTGGCCATGTTGGCTGCGTGCAAGGCAAACGCCCTACCCACTGTACTATCGCCCCTGATTTTAATGTGCATTTTCCTAGTGGCTAACGATTCTAAACATCACACACGTAGGATTTTCCTTGGTGAAGTGTATGTCCATTGGGGACCGAGCTGGACCTTATGTGCTTGCTAGTGAATAACTTTCTGGCCTCCAGGATGCTGTTCCTTTTGTCATTACAACAATGACAAATTTTGTAATGCTAATTTTAATCTTTATAGAGTTGTTCGCAATAATTTATTATTCAATATTCCAACACCAACATTACACCTTGCCACCACCCTTATTTTTTTTTTCCCTCACCACCAACCCGATCCTGCCCCAAAGGCAGATCCTAAATAATTTATTTTGTATTGCTTGTTATTGGCTGGAACGATAGCACAGCGGTAGGGCATTTGCCTTGCCCAAAGCCGTTCTCTGCCCCTCTCGGAGAGCCTGGCAAGCTACCGAGAGTATCTCGCCCGGAGAGCAAAGCCTGGCAAGGTCCCCGTGACGTATTCGATATGCCAAAACACAGTAACAAGTCTCACAATGGAGACGTTACTGGGCCCGCTCGAGCAAATCAATGAACAACGGGAAGACAGTGCTACAGTGCTTGTTATGAATAATCCAATAAATATGATCCAAAAGAGTTTACTCAGAGGAAAGTATGCGAAGATTATTGTATCTCACCCTGGAGACATTAAGCTCTTATATAAGAAATTACTGGGGCTGGGGCTGGAGCAATAGCACAGCGGGTGGGGCGTTTGCCTTGCATGCGGCTGACCCGGGTTCGATTCCCAGCATCCCATATGGTCCCCTGAGCAACGCCAGGCGTAATTCCTGAGTGCAGAGCCAGGAGTAACCCCTGAGCATCGCCGGGTGTGACCCAAAAAGCAAAAAAAAAAAAAAAAGAAAATTACTGGGGCTGGAGCAATAGCACTGCGGGTAGAGTGTTTGCCTTGCACGCGGCTGACCCGGGTTCGAGTCCAAGCATCCCATAGGGTCCCCAGAGCACTGCCAAGGGTAATTCCTGAGTGCAGAGCCAGGAGTAACCTTTGTGCATCGCCGGGTGTGACCCCCCCCAAAAAAAAGAAGTTACTAATATGTCGTTACAGGTTGAGCCTTGTGTGCTTATATATATATATATATATATATATATATATATATCTTTTTGGGTCACACCCGGCGATGCACAGGGTTTACTTACTCCTGGCTCTGCACTTAGGAATTACTCCTGGCAGTGCTCAGGGGACCATATGGGATGCTGGGAATTGAACCTGGGTCGGCTGCATGCAAGGCAAATGCCCTACCTGCTGTACTATAGGTCCAGTCCATTATATATATATATATATATGTATAGTAGTAGTAATAAATTAAAATTCCTGAGTTCATGAGCCAGGAGTAACCCCTGTGCATTTCCGGGTGTGACCCAAAAAGCAATATATAATACTATATATATACATAATACAATATACATATACACATTTTTATCAAGATCGGTTGCCTTCTACTTTACACTGCATCAAATATGGTGTGCTACTCCTGGTACATCAGTGGCTCAGAGAATGAGATGTGAAGCCACGAATGTGGCCATACCAGGATGCTGTTTCAAGTCGGGGGTGACACCTATAGAGCCTCTAGCCAGAATTATCACTCAAAAATGAAGCTCAGGGGCCGGAGAGAGAGTACAGTGGGTGGAGTGTTTGCCCTGCACACGGACAACCCAGGTTCGATCCCTGGCGCCCCATATGGTCCCCTCGAGCACTGCCAGGAGTGATTCCTGAATGCAGAGCCAGGAGTAAGCCCTGAGCACCGTCAGGTGTGGTCCCAAAACAAAAACAAGTGAAAAGATTAAAAATAAATGAAGCTCAAGGACCAAAGAGCGCACAACTGGTGAGACTCTTGCCTTCCATGCAGGCACCTGGGTTCAGTCCCTGGGACCACACGTGGTTCTCCTGAGCACTGTCAAGAGTAAGGTCTGAGCACAGAGCCAGGAGTAGACCTTGAACACAGTTGGGTATATCCAAAATAAACAAAATAACCAATAAAACTCAAGGGTCTGAGTGGTAGTACAATGGTGTAAGGTGTCGGCCTTGCACGCAGATCCCTGCAGATCCCAGATCTCTAGATCGCCCCAGGAGGGACCCCTGAGCACTGCCGGCATGACCCAAAAGGGAAAATGAAGGAGCTGGAGCGATAGCACAGCGGGTAGGGCGTTTTCCTTGCACGCGACAGACCCGGGTTCAATTCCCAGCATCATATATGGTCCCCTGAGCACTGCCAGGGGTAATTCCTGAGTGCAGAGCCAGGAGTAATCCCTGTGCATCGCCGGGTGTGACCCAAAAAGCAAAAAAAAAAAAAAATCAAAAGGGAAAATGAAGCAACTGAAATGGAACTCAAGGTGGGCATCAACTAAGAGTTGTCTCACTCCAGGCCTGCTTATACAAGGAACAAAAAAATTGGGGGGGAGAGATAGTGCAGTGAGTAAGTCGCTTGCCTTGTACCCGGCCAAGCCTGGTTCTATCCCTGGCACCCGGAGGGTCCCCCAACCGCCACCAGGAGTGATCCCTGAGCTCAGGCCCCTAAACAAAAATGATCACCCCAAAACTCTGGGGAGAAGAACAATAAACAATTCATCACTTCCCGAGTGAATCAGGAAAAGGGAAAGACAGTGATAAGATGGGGTCGAAGGTTAAGAAGGAAGTTTCAGGAGCTGGAGCGATAGCACAGCGGGGAGGGCGTTTGCCTTGCACGCGGCCAACCCGGTTCGATTCCCAGCATCCCATAGGGTCCCCCGAGCACCGCCAGGAGTAACTCCTAAATTCATGAGCCAGGAGTAACCCCTGTGCGTTGCCGGGTGTGACCCAAAAAGCAAACTAAACTAAAATAAAATAAAAAGAAGGAAGTTTCATAAATAAAAACCAGCCCAATAGGCCTATGAGACAGTTCAGGGAGGAAAAAAGGGGCCTATCCCACATAAGTTGGGTTTCGTATGGGGATTCCTGGGGACAGGGCCAAGGGTGACCCCTGAGTACAGAATCAGATGGAAAGCCCTGAGCACCTCCGTGTGTAGCCCCCAAACAGGAAAGCACAATTGCAAATCATGTTATCTCAATAATAATACGATTAATTAATTTACATTTTTAATTTATTACTACTACTATTATTGTTACTATTATTGGGCTGGAGCGATAGCACAGCGGGTAAGGCATTTCCCTTGCATGCTGCCGACCGGGGTTCGATTCCTCCACCCCCTTCGGAGAGCCCTGCAAGCTACCCAGAGTATCTCGCCCGCCGCCTGGCAAAGCCTGGCAAGCTCCCCATGACGTATTCGATATGCCAAACACAGTAACAACAAAGTCTCACAATGTGTTGTGAGATGTTACTGGTGCCGAGCAAATTGATGGACAACTAGGACAGTGACAGTGACAGATTATTATTACTATTTTGGTTCCTGGGCTAAACCCCTGCGGTGCTCAGGTCTTCCTCCGAGCTCAGGGCTCTCGGGGTACCGCAAGGGGTGCCTGGGGTGTAGCTATACCCAAGGCAAGCGCCCTGCCCGCCGCACCCCAATAAACGCGATTTTAAAAACTCCTATGACGTTAGCGTCAGCGCGCGGTGGGCAGTCTTTGGGTGGGTGGGGGGTGTGTGTCTGCGCTGGGGTGAGCTTTCCGGGGTGGGGGCCGGTCCATTCCTTCCCTCACTCCCGAGAACGTTCCCTGGGACCCCCACCCTAGTGCGTGCCGAGCTCCCCCCCACCAAAAAAAACCCCCAGCTCCGAGCCCCCGCGCCCCCCGCGGCTCCGAGCCGGCCGCACCCGCGCGCGCCCCCTGGCGGCCGGCCGGGGAGCGGCGCCGCGGGAGGGGGCGGGGGCGCCGCGCACGCGCAGGGGCCGGGGCGCGCGCCGAGCGGGGGGCGCCGCGCGGGTGCAGCACGATGGAAGGGGGTGCGTACGGAGCCGGCAAAGCCGGGGGCGCCTTCGACCCCCACGCGCTGCTCCGGCAGCCGCACACCATCCTGCGCTTCGTGTCCTGGGTAAGCCAGCGGGCGCGGCGGGCGCGCGCGCGGAGCCCCCCGCCCGCGCCCCCCGCACCCCGGGGCGCGCCCCCCGCCCCGCACCCCGGCCGCGACCCCCGGAGCCCTCGGCACACCCGGGGTCGCCGCGCCCTCCCTCCCTCCCTCCCCCCCGTCCCGTGACCTCGACGCCGCGGGGACGCAGCCCCGGCGCGCGGCCTCCGGGCAGGGGGGCGCCGAAGCCCCCCCACCGGCCGCCCACGGGGTGCGGGGCGCGGGGGGCGGGCCGGGGTGTGTATCGGGCCGGGGGGTCCGGCCGGTCCTGGCCGCGCGGGGCCGGCGGGAGGATGCGCCGAGCCGGTTACCTGGCGGCCCCGAGACGCGTGACCTTGGGCCGGGAGCCGCCCCGAGTCATCCCCGGGGAGGTGCCCGGGGTGGGGGTGGGGGTGTCTCCGCGCCTGTGCCTCAGTTTCCCCACGCAGAGGGCCCCGGGAGGCGCCGCCGCCGTGGGTGGGCCCCGCGCGAGCCTGCGTCGTGACCACCCCCCACACCTGGACGCTTGGGGGGGCGGGGAGGAGCCGCGGGGCGCCGGGCCCGGCTGCGGAGGGGATAGGTGGGGTGAGGACCCGACCCAGGGGTGCAAGGCGGTGGGCAGCACCCCGGGAACAGAGCCCAGGGTGAGGGGCGCCTGGGGCCCCCCGAGGTGGGGGTTTCTAGTTGTGTGGTTTTGGGCCTGTGCTGGCTCACTCCCAGGGCCTGGATTGGGGAGCAGCGGGAGGGGGGGCACTGGTGGGCACCCCGAGCTAGCCTAGGGCTGCCTGGGACCTGGAGGGGGCCCCCTGCCCCGTGTCTGTTGGGGTTCGGGGTCATTTTAGGGGTTGCTGCGGGGAGCCCGGCTATTCCTCTGGGCCTCCCTTCCTTTTGTCTAGAAGAGGCCAGTTTGAGCCCCTTTCTTGAGTGCCCCCCGCAAGTGGAGATGGGGAGGCTCTGAGATGCCCCTTTAGCACACGGGTCCCTAGGGTGGCAATGGCCTGGCCCTTCCAGGGACACCCCAAAGCCATAGTTCTCAGCAGGTTCCAGCTCCTTAGAGACTCTTCCTGTGGCCACTGGGGGGGTGGGGCTCCGGGGGGGGCACCTTGGGGTGGCCGGTGGCCCCTGGGCGGGGAGCTGGCGTTTGTGGGGTGCTTCCTTCATCTGCTCCGGGCAGCTGCCCCCAGAGAGCGTGACGTAGTGCCCTGGCCCGTCCTTAGCCCACGGACGGATGAGACGCGTCCCCGGGGCTGTGTCGGGGGTGGGGGGACGGGTATGAAGGGGGCCCTCCTCTCTGTGGGAATCAGGGCTTCCTGGAGGAGGTGCCAGGAAGGTGAAGTGGGCTCACTAACTGGGGCGGAGCAGGAGGGTCCCCTGGAGTCCAGGGGGCCCTGTTGCGGCTTCATGCCCCCCGTGCTCTGCCCCAGTGCAGGAAGAATTTGAAATCCCGGTACTTCCGGATTGATTGCGGAGGTTCAGGGTCATCTTGGGGGGTTTCTCTCCACTTGCTGCCCCAAATCTCCCAAATGTGGCCCCCTGAGCCCTGACAGTGCTGTGTGTGAGCTCCTGGGTGAGGGACCCCCCCTTTCCAACTTAGGTTTATTGTTCAGAGATTATTATTATTATTATTATTATTATTTTGCTTTTTGGGGTCACACCCAGCAATGCTCAGGGGTTATTCCTGGCTCTGCACTCAGGAATTACTCCTCACGGTGCTCAGGGGGACCCTACAGGATGCCGGGATCGAACCCGGGTTGGCCAGGTGCCAGGCAAACGCCCTCCCCGCTGTGCTATCGCTCCGGCTCCTGTTCAGAGGTTGTTATTAAGGCTGGAATCCGGCTTCCGGCTCCCCTCCCTGCACCCCCCCACCCCTACCTGATAAGAGCCTTCAAGAAAGTGAGTTTGGGGCCTGGAGCGAGAGTACAATGGGGAAAAGTGCTTGTCTTGCACGTGACTTATCGTGTTCCACCCCCCAGCACCCCACAGAGTCCCCTAAGGCCCCACCAGGAGTGACCCCAGAGCACAGAGCCAGGAGTAAACCCTGAGCACTGCTGGGTATGGCCTCCCTCCCCCCAAAAAAAGTAATAATAATAAATGTGTGTTTTGTTTTGCTTGGAATCATAAAGTATTATCTCCTATTTTTGAAATACTGTAACCCTTTGCTGCTGCAAAGGGTTAATCCTCTGGCAAGGTGGTCTCTTCTGGGGGATATTTGGACCAACAAAGATGCTTTTTGGGGCTGGAGCCATAGCACAGCAGGGTAGGACGTTTGCCTTGCACGCAGCCAACGCGGGTTCGATTCCCAGCATCCCATAAGGTCCCCTGAGCCCCGCCAGGAGTAATTCCTGAGTGCAGAGCCAGGAGGAACCCCTGAGCACTGCTGGCGGGTGTGACCCAAAAAGAAAAAAAAAAGCTCTTGGCGTGGACAGGGAGAGGGGGCTGTGCAGGGGGTCGGAGATCTGCTCAGGACCACTGCGCCCTCCCTGTGGGCACCTGTGCCTCAGTGTCCCCATCTGATGGAGGAGGCTGCCTGGTGCCCACCCGTGGTCCCCCAGCCCTGCAGGGATCCAGGACCCGCTTCTTGTTGCATTTCTGGCCCCACCTGGAGAGCGGCTGGCCGTGAGCACAGGGAGGGGAGTCTACCATGTGGGGTCCCTCCCTGAACGGACGGGCATCCACTCTGGAGTGCCGAGGGTTCAGGCTGGCGGGCAGAGTGATTGCACAGCGCGGAGGGCGTTTGCCCTGCGTGCAGCCGACCCAGGTTCAATCCTCGGCACCCTCTATGGGCTGCTGAACCCCCATCAGGAGTGATCCCTGAGCACAGAGCTAGGAGCAAGCCCTGAGCACCGCCGGGTGTGGCCCCCAAGCCAAAAGAAATGAAGGTGGGCTTCTGGGGGGCTGGTGGGAGTGAGGCTGGGGGGAGGGGGCCAGCCTTGGGGCCGTGGGGACCCGCACCCCAGCTGAGCGTTACTCAGGGCAGGGGAAGCCCATATGTTTGCTCTTGGGGGGGTTGGGTCACATCCAGTATCTCTCCGGAGTCACCCGGGTGACCCAGGGTGTCGCCTTAACTGCAAGGCACGTGAGGAGGGTTCCTGGGCGCAGTCCTGGGGTGATCCTGATAGCAGAAGGCCCGTGCACCCCCTCCTGCACTGGCCAGGCCGAGGTGTCTTTGGGGCTTTTCCACTTGTGTTTATTTGCAGCCAGAAATCAGCCCATCTTTGTTTTTTAGGTTTCTAGGTGTTTTTTTTTTTTTCTTTTTGCGTCACACCCGGCAATGCTCAGGGCTTCCTCCTGGCTCTGCACTGAGGAATGACTCCTGGCGGTGCTCAGGCGACCTTAGGGGATGCCGGGGATCGAACCTGGGTCGGCCGCGTGCAAGGCCAACGCCCTCCCCACTGTACTATCGCTCTGGCCTTTCTGTCTTTGGCATCGGCCCAGCCACCTGAAACTCTCGGGCCCCTCGTCCAGACCACGGCGAGCCTAGGATGGGGGTCCGGCCTGCAGGGAGGAGCTCAGATGCTCTCCTGGGCGTTTTCTCCGAGCCGAGCCCAGACGGGCGAAGGCCCCGGGCGGCCGGGGAGGGGGGCGGGCGCGAGGGGGCGGCCAGGGCAGATGGCAGCGCCGCGAGGGAGCCGAGCTTGGCACCCGGAGCGGAAGAACCGGCCGCGGGGAGGAGTGGTGGGTTGGCGGCTGCGCCCTCACGTTCCGGCGCCAGCCGGGTGCTGCGGGCACCGTGCCTCGGTTTCTCCCTCGGGAGAGCGAGTCCAGATCCCCCCTCGTAGGTCTTGAATGTGGTAGAGCAGTTCAGTGGACACCGCACGGCCCCCACCACCCCCTCCCTCGTCGTGGGAAGGGCCCTGGGGCCAAGGGGCCACTCAGGGTTGCTCCAGGGACCCCCAGCAAAGCCGAGTCCCCAAATGACTCAATCCAGGGTCCTGGCACTTCGAGAGTTAAGGGGTGACTGGGTTGTGGCCTCAGTGTCCCCTTTCTGCTCCTGGGAAGCTGGTCCTCCCCCGCTCACTGTCCTCCCTGGCAGGCTCGTCCAAGGCAGCAGAACGGGGTTCGGGACGGTGGGCAAGAGACACACACGGGGAGCCCCCCCCCACCGCAGCCCTGCCCAGCTGAGGCTCCTCAGGAAACCCAGCAGCCGCTGCCCGTGTCCGTCACGTGTCCTCACGTGACCGTGTGTCAAGAGGTGGGGGTGGGCTCCGGCCTGACTCAGCCCTGGGCCGTGTGACTCCCTCCCGGATGAGTGGGGATTCGGGCAGCTGAGCCCTGAGGGGGTGCCACACCATGGGAGGCCCTTTTCTGGGACTGACCAACCCCCCCACCCCTGCCCCCTCCCCTATGTGTGGGGCTTGGAGTTCCGGAACCTTTTCTTGGTTGATTTGGGGCCTCGCCTGGCAGTGCTCAGGGTTACTCCTGGCTCTGTGCTCAGGGATCATTTTGGGCAGGGGACCGTCTGGGGTGCCGGGGATCGAGCCTGGGTCGGCCGGTGCAGGGCCAGCGTTCTTCCTGCCGTCCTGACACTTGGGACCCCGGAACTGTTCCTTGAAGGGCCATGGAGGGGACGCAGGAGGTCTGGGAGGGGTGTGCTGGCTTGGGCGGCCACTGGCGGCTACTGACTTGGGTCTGCGTCTTCTCTGGGGTGACGTTGGGGTTCTGCCCCTCCCGGCCTCCCGGGCCTCCCCAGGCCTGTGTGACCCAGCCCGGCCCAGAATCTTGTTTGTCTGGTTCCGGTTGCCCAGGGGCCCCTGGTGGTAGCGTCTCTGCCGGCCCCTGGAGTCCCCGCAGGCCTGGCCTTCGCAAGTCACCCCAAGACTGCTGGGGTGGGGGAGGCGGCCTCCTACGTCTCCCCCTCCCCTCCTCTCGGCACTTCCCTCCCATCTCCGTGCTCCCGCCTCTCCGCCAAGACCGCCTGGCTGATGCCTGCCCACTTGCTCCCCCTCCTCTCCTCCTGCTCCCTCCTGCCTGCTTTGGCGGGGGTGCTCCCCAACGCCGGCACCCCTGGAGAGGAAAGTGCTCCGCTCCTGAGCGCTTAAGGTGAGACCCGCCTGCACGTGGGCTCAGAGATGGCAAGTCACAGGCCCCAGGCCACACAGCAGAATGGGAGGCGTGTGATCGGGGCCTGGCAGATCTGGGCCATGGAGTGCTCTCAAGGACCGCTCCGGGTTCCGCCCCCGGCACCACATGGTCCCACACACACCCCAGACAGAAGACTCTTTGGGTGCTCCATGCTCGCCCGTGCAGGGAGGAGTGATGTCGCACCTGTCACCGCACGCCTCTGCCAGGGCAGCAGCTCCGGCCCCACGCTGGGCTGAGTGATGTCACTGGCTCTGCGTCATTTCCGCTCTCAGCGCCTGCAGGGGGAGGAGGGGGAGCTGAGGAGCAGAGCTGGGGGGGTGCTGCTCTGTTTCAGGGAATCGGGTGGAGGGAAGCGGGACTCTGGGGTGCGGGGGTCCCTGCTGCGGCCCCCAGTGTGGGCGTTGGCTCTCCCCAGCTGGGGACCAGGAGTCTGCCCAGTAGAGGGGCGCAGTCCCACCTCCCCCGCAGCCCCTCCCCAAGAGCCTTTGGGGGGGGTCACAGAAGCCAGTCGTGGCCTCAGGGTGGCCCAGCACCAGGGGGTCCCCAGCACCAGCTGCAGCCACGGATGCCCCTGCCTGCCCTGGCACCTGAGCAACCTGTACTGGGCCCGTTGGGACAACGCCACCTGCCAGGCCAGGACCCCAGGACAGCCCGGGGCTCACAGACGGGGTGGGCAGGCCTGAGAAGGCGCCTCCGGGGGCGCAGGTCTGGTCTACAGGGACCTGGCTGGGGTGGAGGGGCGACATCTGGTCAGGCCTGGGCAGACCCCAGACGAGCCGCCCTCCCCCTGCTCTGTGCTGTGTGGCTGTGTGGGAGTTGCCCTCTCTGCAGGCTGTGGGCATGAGGGGTCCCGGAGGAGCAGCCGCCAGGGGAGGGGGCTGTAGGTGTGTCTGTGTGTGCGGTATATGTGAGTGTATATATGTGCATGTGTGTGATGTATGCGTATATCTGTGTTTTTTGTGGTGTGTCTGTGTTTTTGTGTTTTTTGGTGTGTGTATGTCTGTTTTGTGGTGTGTCAGTACCTGTATGTGTGTGTGTATTTCGTGGTGTGTATATGTGCGTTTGTGGTTTGTGTATATGCGTATGTACGCATTTGTGAGCTTGGCCCCGCCCCAGCCGGTCGGGGGCGGGGCTCCTTGCTCAGCCCCGCCCTAGGACCCGCCTCCTTGATCAGCCCCGCCCCCTCAGCTTGCTCTGCCTTTGGCCCCACCCTTGGGATAGGCCACACCCCTCAGATTGGCCCCGCCTCTGTTCATTCCCGCCCTCAGGATTGGCCTCCACACTCAGCCTGCCCTAGGACCTGCCTCCTTGCTCAGCCCCGCCCCGTCTGCTTGTGCTGCCTTTGCCCCCACCCTCAGGATAGGCCCCGCTCCTCCTCTTGGCCCCGCCCCTCAGATAGAGCCCGCCCCAGTATTGGCCCCTCCCCACACTCAGTCCCGCCCTCCTTGATCGGCCCCGCCCCCTCAGCTTACTCTGCCTTTGTCCCCACCCTCGGGATAGGCCACGCCATCCTCTTGGCCCCGCCCCTCAGTTCATCCCCGTCCTTAGGATTGGCCCCTCCCCACACTCAGCCCGGCCCTAGGACCTGCCTCCTTGCTCAGCCCCGCCCCCTCTGCTTGCTCTGCCTTTGCCCTCCCTCAGGATAGCCCCGCCCCTCCTCTTGGCCCCGCCCCTCAGATGAACCCCGCCCCAGAATTGGCCCCTTCCCACTCAGCCCCGCCCTAGGACCCGCCTCCTTGATCAGCCCCGCCCCCTCCGCTTGCTCGGCCTTTGGCCCCACCCTTGGGATAGGCCACACCCCTCGGATTGGCCCCGCCTCTGTTCATTCCCGCCCTCAGGATTGGCCTCCACACTCAGCCTGCCCTAGGGCCTGCCTCCTTGCTCAGCCCCGCCCCGTCTGCTTGTGCTGCCTTTGCCCCCACCCTCAGGATAGGCCCCGCTCCTCCTCTTGGCCCCGCCCCTCAGATAGAGCCCGCCCCAGTATTGGCCCCTCCCCACACTCAGTCCCGCCCTAAGATCCGCCTCCTTGATCGGCCCCGCCCCCTCAGCTTACTCTGCCTTTGTCCCCACCCTCGGGATAGGCCACGCCATCCTCTTGGCCCCGCCCCTCAGTTCATCCCCGCCCTTAGGATTGGCCCCTCCCCACACTCAGCCCTGCCGTAGGACCCGCCTCCTTGCTCAGCCCCGTCCCCTCTGCTCAGCCTGCCTTCCCGTTTTGGCCTCGACCCCTCCGCTTGCTCTGCCTTCGGCCCCGCCCCCTCCTCTTGGCCCCGCCCCACACTCAGCCCTGCCCCCGCCCGCCCTTGCAGGTTTTTGCCATCGTGGTGTTCGGCTCCATCGTGAACGAGGGTTACCTCAACAGCAACCAGGAGGGCGAGGAGTTCTGCATCTACAACCGCAACCCCAGCGCCTGCAGCTACGGCGTGACGGTGGGCGTGCTGGCCTTCCTCACCTGCCTGCTCTACCTGGCGCTGGACGTCTACTTCCCGCAGATCAGCAGCGTCAAGGACCGCAAGAAGGCTGTCCTGTCGGACATCGGCGTCTCGGGTGAGCCCCCGGCCAGCTGGGAGGGGGTGGTCGCAGGCAGCCGCAGCCCCACCGCGGGGCCTCAAGCCTCGTGGGACAGGCAAGACGGGGCTTGGGCCTGGGGTACGGCCAGCTGCCCCTGCTGACTTATGCCCTCAAGTGGGATTGGTTGGGTGCAGGTCTGCCACGGCCCCAGGCCCCAAGCAGTGAAGGGTCCCAGATCTGTGGTTCTCAGTCAGGGTTCCCTGGGACCCTGGGTTCCTCCGACAGTGTCCAGGAGACCCTCTGCACCCTGCACACCCTCTGCAGAGCTGCTCCTCTGCCTGGCCCCGGGCACCCGCTGCACTGTAGCACAGGGTTCTCAAAGGACTCTGCTGGCCCCAGGGTGCTGGCTGGAAGTGCATTAAGAGTCCAGACTGGAACCCCTACGTTAGAACTGCCTTCTTCCCACTGCTGCCCAGGCCTCTGGGGGCTGCAGTCAGAGGCTGGGGGGGGGCATCCCTGAGGCCCCCAGGTGTTTGGCTCTTTGGCTGAGGCCTCTCTCCCTCCATCCGGCCCCTGCACCCTGGAGATCTTTCCCATGGGAGCCTCCGGCCCTGCCTCTGCACGCCCCCAGACCCCACTCCTAGTCCGGGAGGCCGCCTCAGACCCCCTCTCTGGGGTGGGAGCGTGGGAACGCCCTGTGACCCCACCTCTCTCCCGTCCCGGGATTCCAGCCTTCTGGGCCTTCTTCTGGTTCGTGGGCTTCTGCTTCCTGGCCAACCAGTGGCAGGTCTCCAAGCCCGAGGACAACCCGCTCAACGAAGGCACCGACGCCGCCCGGGCTGCCATCACCTTCTCCTTCTTCTCCATCTTCACCTGGGTGAGTAGCGCCCGTGGGCACGGCACCTCAGAGAGTCCTGCACACGCACGCATGTATCCCCATGGTCTCACACACATGCAACTCCCCACAGTCACACACACACACACACACACATGCAGCCCCATGATCACGCACACGACATTCATCTCCCCACAGTCACACATACACACGTGCACCCTCCACTGTCACACACACACACACACACACACACATTCTTCCAGTTAACATACATACCCCCTCTCACAGTTATGGACACACACATGTGCACATATACATGCATCCTCACACAAATGCATCCCTCACGGTCACACGCAAACATGTGCATCGCCCATAGTCACATGCACACACACATACATCCCCCACGGTCACATGCACATATGTGCAAACCCCACGGCCACATGTAAACATACACAGACACACACACACACAGAGGCACCCTGCACTGTCTCACATGCACACACATGCATCCCCCATGGGCACGCACATACACCCAACTTCCCGCAGTCATGAACACAGAGACACTCATGCCTGTCGCAAAATTACAGCCACACACCCTCTCCCACCTTTATGGACACACACATGTGTGCACATACACACCCAGACGTCCACAGAGACACACATACCCCCACCCCTTGCTCAGACGAGCTCCCTGAGCCCCAGGCGGGAAGGTCGGGCCTAGGTTTTCGAGGCTGGAAGGCGCCCAGGCCTCAATGTCCAGGGAGCGCAGACAGACCGTGGGGCCCAGGGCCTGGGTTGAGGGGTACAGGCAGGGAGGAGGGGGTATGTGCACCCCACCACAAGGGCGGGATGAGGGGGCCCTCCCAGATGAGGCTTCCATGTTCCCATGAAGCCAGTGTTGTTCGTTTCCCTGAAGCCCTGAGCTGAGACAGAGAGAGAGGGGGAGAGAGAGAGAGAGAGAGAGAGAGAGAGAGAGAAGTGTCTGGGGAACCCTTTGTGGGCAGGATGGGGGCACTGTGCTAGTCCCGTCCCCCTGGTTCCCAGCTCGCCCTTGGCTCTTCCCTCTGCTGGGCCGTAGACTACTCCTTGCCCAGCAAATTGGGGTCCCTGAAGCTTCATGAAGGCATCCAGCTCTCCCTCACCTTCAGCTCTGACATCTGCCCTGGGTGACTTATCAGTCCAGGAGCCGCTGAGGTAGTCCAGGGGGTAATGCACTTGTCTTGCATGTGGCCAACCCCGATTTGATCCCTGGTACTCCTTATGGTCCTCTGAACGCCACCCCACTGATTCCTGAGCACAGAGCCAGGAGTAAGCCCTGCGCACCGCCGGGTGTGGCCCCAAGACGGGAATGAAAATTTAAAATATAAGAACCCTTGGGCTGGAGCGATAGCACAGCCGGTAGGGCATTTGCCTTGCACATGGTCGACCCAGGTTCAATTCCTAGCATCCCATATGGTCCCCCGAGCACTGCCAGGAGTGATTCCTGAGTGCATGAGCCAGGAGTAAGCCCTGTGCATCGCCTGGTGTGACCCAAAAAAAGAAAAAAAAAAAGGAAAAGAATATATAAGAATTCTTTTGATCAGAGCCACACCCAGCAGTATTGGGGCTCAGGTGTCGCAGGAGATGGGATCCAAGAGCAGGTGTGGTCCCCCCCTTGGCCAGGCCCCACCCCCAACGCCCACCAGGTGACCTCAGGGGACCTCAGACCCTGGTAGGGAAAGGTCACTGTCACCGTCACTGTCACTGCCCTCCCGTTGTTCATCGATTTTCTCAAGCAGGCCCAATAACATCTCCAGTGTGACACTTGCATTCGGTGGCTTGCTGGGCTCTCCAAGAGGGGCGGAGGAATCGAACCCAGGTTGGCTGGCCGGGTTCGGTATGCAAGGCAAACACCTTACCCGTTGTGCTATTGCTGCAGCCCAGGGAAAAGTACCCCCCCAAATAAGTTCCAGCCCCGCCAGCCCTAGAGGGAGGAGCTTAGTGACCAATGGGGTGGGGCTTGCGTGGTTCTCTGATGGATGATTGGACGCCTGGACTCCAGGGGCGGGGCCGAAGGACCCAACTGACAGGTGCCTGAGCCAATCACCGGAGGCCGGCCTCTCTGCCGCTCTGCCCCGCCGCGGGCTGGCTTCACCCCTGCTCTCTCCCGGCAGAGCCTGACCGCGGCCCTGGCCGTGCGCAGATACAAGGACCTTGCCTTCCAGGAGGAGTACAACACGCTGTTCCCCGCCTCCGCGCAGCCCTAGCTGCTGCCTGCACCCGCGGCCGAGCCGCGCACCCTCCCATTGCCCCCCTGCTCCATTCACCCCGTGTCTGGTGTCTGACTGTACAGTAAACATTTATTGAGCAGCTGCTCTGTGCCCAGTGACGAATGAGGTTGGGGGTGCGGGGGGCAAAGCCTGGCGGCTCGCAGTGGGTCTGCGGGGGTCCTCGCCAGAGACACAAGGTGATCACAGCCCCAGTGGAGTGCCCAGCGGCCTCAGGCCTGGGGAATGCTGCTAGCCCGGCCCCTTGCGGGCTGCTGTGCTCAGGGGACAGTGCTTGGCACAGACTCGCTCAATAAATGTGAGCGCCTTTGTTCATTCACTCATTGACTCATTGCTTCATTCATTCATTCATTCTCAGGGTGGGGCCGAGGGGCTCTGCTCTGGGGGGGAAGATTTTCACGTGTCCCGTCCTGAAGCCCACTTCCCTGTCCAGGGCTCTGCAGGGCGGAGGAGGGGACGGTGCCCACCTCAGGCCCCTGGAGCCACGCCCTGCTGGGGGCTGGTGAGCACAGTGTAAGCGGAGCAGACAGAGGCGAGATGCTCCCACCCCGGGGAGGGGCTGCCGGGAGCGACCTGCTGTGGGTCAGGAGCGCCCGAGAGACGGCGGGTTCCTGACCTCGAGCAGGACGCCTAGCCTCCCCTGCTCCCGGACACCGGGCAGCTGGGTGGCTCAGGGGGTCGGAGTGTGGGGGAGCCGGAGTGAGCCCAGAAAGGGCGCCAGGGCCTGGAGCTCAAGGCCCCTTCCCAGGTCAGAGCCAGCTCCATGGAGTCACCCCCCCATGGGGACGTCACGGCCCCCCAGGCCCTCAGCGTCTGCCAGCCACTGCCCAGATGGGCTTCCCCTAGAGCTGCTTCATGCCCAGGAGTCCAAAGCAAAGCCAGCCTCTGGGCTTCCAGAACTTTCTCTTTATTTATTTATTTATTTATTTATTCTTTTTGGGTCACACCTAAGGATGCACAGGAGTTACTCCTGGCTCTGCACTCAGGAATTACTCCTGGTGATACCAAGGGACTCTATGGGATGCCAGGGATCGAACCTGGGTCGACTGCGTGCAAGGCAAATGCCCTACCCACTGTGCTACCGCTCTGGCCCCCTTCTGGAGCTTTCTAGGAAGAAAAATGCCCAGCACTCTTTGTTCCCCGCTGCCTAGCAGGGTCCAAGCTGCCCCCTATCCCCCCCACACACGCACGCACACTTGGAGGGGTTCAGGTCTCCGTACTGGCCCTTACCTGCCCCAGGCCTCACTTCTCCATACCTCGGGCCTACCTTTCTCCAAGTAAGGGGCTCTGGAGAGTTTGACTCTCCTTCATAGGCTGGAACCCAGGCAGGAGGAGGTCCTCATGGCCTAGAAGCCCAGCGTTCCCTGGGTGACGGGGTTCGTGCACGGCTGAGTCCCTTATAGGCACCCTTAAGAAGAAGACAGGACTGGGACCAGAGCCGTAGCATAGCGGGGAGGGGGCTTGCCTTGCATATGGTGGACCCAGGTTTGATCCCCGGCATCCCTTATGGTCCCCTGAGCACTGCCAGGAGTGATCCCCGAGCACAGAGCCAGGAGTAAGCCCTGAGCATGGCTGGTTGTGGGTTTAAAACAACAAAACAAAAAAGCAAGGGGGCCCAGATGATTCAAGTGAGATTCTGCGGGTTCACTTGGCCTCTGGGTCCCCCCAGCTTCCCGGGGGCACAGCCCCAGCCTCAGATGGAACCTCTATAGATGTGAGTTAGGGGAGGAGTCCTGAAAACAGCCCCCCACGGAGAGCATGGCCGCTGGGATGTTTCAGGTTGTGTGTAGGTACGTGTGTGTGTGTGTGTGCGTGTGTGTGTGTGTGTGTGTGTTGGTGGGGCAGCGTCATGCCGACAGTTCTCATGCCTGTGGGCGCTGGCACTGAGGACCCCGGGGTGCTGGGGACCAGATTGGTCTCCCTGTCAGGCTTGTCCTCTCACCTGCCCCGTCAGCTGTCCCCCTGCCCCCCTCCCCCCTCCCCGTGTTTAAGCTTTGGGGGAAAGTTGAGGGCAGATGACTTGGCAACAGGCGGTCACTTGGAGCACCGCAGGGGCTGGAGAGGGAGCACGGGGACCAAGGCCCTTCCTGGGATCCCTGTTCATCCCCAGGGACTGCGCGGCCAGAAATAGCTTCTAAGCACCCTGGGTGTGGCCCCAAACCGAGAAGCATTACAGAGTAAAACGGAGGCAAGACACCGCAGGGGAGCGGCCCCTTTGCAAGGTGATGTGTAAAATCACGAGACTTCCCAGATCAGAAAGAAAAAGTCCAGGCTGGGTTGGGGCTGGGTGGATGGCGCCAAGACTCCCGGCGTTTGTCAGGGTCAGCTGTGAAAGGACCCCGAGACACACACACGCACACGCACACGCACAAACAGGGCACATGCGTGCTCGCTCTGTCTCCTGGCTCCCGCGAACGGGTCCGCGCTCCACGTTGGCTGAGCCCTGTGGCTGGTCTCTGCTTCCCCTTTGAGGACCCCAGCCCGACCGAGGGTCCCGGTCAGAATTAGGTTTCAGCTGCTCAGGACAGAAACCCCAGATAGTAGGGTTTTGTTTGGATTTTTAGTCGCGGGGGTTATGCAGACTCCCCAGCATGGTTGTCGTCTGGTGGGGCGAGCCAAGGGGCTCCAGAAATCACTGGTGGTCTGGGCCTTATCCATCGTCACCACTTGACTCTTGTACCTCTTGGCGCAATAGTGGCAGCTGAAGCACCAGCAGTCACACCTGCATCCAGACATGAGGTCCTGTGCACCCGCCCCAAGAACTTTGGGCGACTCGTTGGCCTGAATGTAGTTAGACGGCTGTGAGTCAGGTTTCAGGAAGTGCTGCTGAGAACCTTTGCATATGCATCCTGGCGTAGACTTGAAAAGGATGTCTGGGCCCCGTGGGAGCTGAGTGTGACCTCTCGTGTCGGTGGTCTTGTGATTCCTGGTCCCTGGAGGTGGGGTGTCCTCCCCGGCCCGGCTCGGGTCACCCCCACCCCCACCCGCCGGGGCTCGGGACCCCTCTGTTGCTTCACTAACCACCACTAACCCGCCTTCTTGTCTGTCTCTCCCCCTAACCGCCCCCTCGCCCCCTCGCCCCCGGCCGTCCAGGCGGGCCAGGCCGTGCTGGCCTTCCAGCGGTACCAGATCGGCGCCGACTCGGCCCTCTTCTCCCAGGACTACATGGACCCGAGCCAGGACCCCAGCATGCCTTACGCGCCCTACGTGGAGCCCAGCGCGGGGCCGGAGCCCGCCGGCATGGGCGGCACCTACCAGCAGCCGGCCTTCGACGCCGAGCCGCAGGGCTACCAGTCCCAGGGCTACTGAGCGCCGGGCCGGCCCCCACCGCCCCGCCAGCGCCTCCAGGCAGTCCCCTGTGGTGCTGGAGGGGGGCCAAGAGAGGGAGGGGGGCATCTCCCTGGGTGTGTGTGTGTGCGCAAGTGTGTCCGGCAGGGCCTGGGGCGCGTGCGTCCACTCGGTGTTTGGGCTGTCCTGGGGGACCCCGGGGCTGAGAGCAAAATGGGGGGCAGGGCAGCTGTTGCCTTGGGGTCCCCAAGCCAGGAGGGGTGAGGGAGCCCCAGACGTGGCGACTGCGGGCACAGGGGCGCCCTCCTGCTGGACTCACTGCGGCCCTCCAGGGCCCCCCGACGGTGGCTGAGGGGCCAGGGACAGGCGGTGGGCCTAGCTCCCCCGTCCCCCTTCTGGCTGTCGGTGACGCTGGTCCCGTTTGCTGTCCTGTCCTCATGTGCCCCCTTGCTCCCCTGACCCTTCGTGTCCATCGCTCTGGGAGGCCGGGCTGGGGGGGTTCAGCCCACAGGACCCCCGGACTCTGCTGCAAACCTGTCGGCCCGGACCCCCCATTTCCATACCCCCTTTGCTCCCTTTCCTACTGCTTGTGGTCCCTGTCCCACCTGGCCTCGGGAGGGGGACCCCCAGTTCTGGGGAGCAGGGGCAGGCCCAGGCCTGCTGTCCAGGCGCCCACGGCCGGGGGCAGGGCAGGGCCCCTGAGACCCTCCGAGGGCAGAGCAGAGAGCTGGGGCAGAGACTCTGCATCTGACAAGCCTCCCCACCCCCATGAGCTGTGTGATTGACTCAGTGTCCCCCCGGGTGTCTCTGGGGGGTACAACTGGGCCCCCCTCAGGTGTAGGAGGGCTGTGAAGGCCGCAGGGTTGGGCCTTGTCCTGCGCCGTCAGGACGAGGAGCAGATGTGGGATCCCCCCCACCAGCACCTCGAGTGCCGGGAAGGAGGGTCCGAGGGGGTCCGCAGTCAGGAGCCACGTGCGCTGGGGCCACGGAGGGGCAGGCCAGTCGGGCCCCGCTGCACCCTATGGGGGGGCGGTCATGGCTGCTCACTGTGGGGTGCTCTCAGATGGGGGGGCGAGAGGAGGGACACGGGGTGTCCCAGGGGGTGGTGTGGGGCGGGAACGCAGGGGGTTCCAGGTGCGCCCAGAGGGCAGAGTGGAGTGCCCAGCCGCTGCCCACCGGGCCTAGGACTTGAGCTGTTGCTCCAGCACCCCGGGCTGGGAAGGTGTCCTGGGCCCAGACCCCCACAGGGTGGGGTCGAGGTCTGGTCGGGGGGGCTGATCTGGACGAGCCCCCCCCTCCCCTTGTTTCTGATCTGATGCTGCCCTCCCCCAGAGGTGGGTGGGGTCCCCCCACCCCCGGCTCCGCCCCTCCCTCACCCCAAGCCTGTCCTAAGACAAGGCCCTGTGCTCCCCTCCTGCAGAACCCGGGCTCCCCCCTCCCCCCCAAGCACAGAGGGGTCCCGGAGAGTCGGGGTCCGTGCAGGGCCCAAGTTGCAGGGTCCATGGGACCGAGCGGCAAGCCGGGGAGTAGGGACCCCCCACGAACCGGGGTCCGGTGACACGTGTGACGGCTGCTCTCCCCTCCCCCCCCAGTGATTCTTGATTTTCCACAATTCTGGGGGTCCCAGGCTTCCTCCATGTAACCAAGAACCCCAGTTGGTCCCCTCAGGGCCCCCCCAGCCCCTCTTGGGCCCACCTCCCCTTTAGATTGTCAAAGGGACAACAACCCCCCCCCTTTGGGCGGACAGGGGGTCCGGCCCCGGCCCCGCCCTGCATTGACAAGACGTCACCCCGTTCCCCTGGCCCAGGTGCCCCGCCCCGCAGCGTTACTGCCTGTGTATAGTATAAATATATATATTTTCTATATATAAGATGTATAATATGAAGCTCCATAAATATATCTGTGTGTGTGTGTATGTGTGTGTGTGTGCGGTGAATGGCGGGCCCCGGCCCAGGCCCCACTCGGGACCCCCCCCGAACCCCGGGCGAGTTTCTCAAGAGGGAACCCAGTGGCCCCGTGGCAACCCCCCCGTACGACATCCGTCCATTTGTGGTGAACCAAAGTGAAGGTGGTGACTCCTGGTGACGCGTAATAAAGTGACGACTAACCCCGCGGCAGACTCTGGTGTGGAATGTGTTTCTTGGCCCTTGCGCGCACCCCGCGGTCCTCCCCTCGGCCCGGGACGTGCCTTACTCGGGATGCTTAGTTCCGTTTCAGTCACACGCTGTACCTCTGAGTAGACTCGTGTGAAAAGTTAACATCCGGGGCTGGAGCAATAAATAGTCCAGCAGGGAGGGCATTTGCCTTGCACACAGCTGACCGGGTTCAATCCCCGGCATCCCAGACGGTCCCCTGAGCACTGCCAGGAGTGATTCCTGAGTGCAGAGCCAGGAGTAAGCCCTGAGCATCGCCAGTCCCAAATCAAAGAAAAAGCAACAACAAAAAAAACTCAATCTGGGTTCGATCCCCAGCATCCCATATGATCCCCTGAGCACTGCCAAGGGTAATTCCTGAGTACAGAGCCAGGAGGAACCCCTGTGCATCGCCGGATGTGACTCCCCCAAAAAAAGCAAAGCAAAAAAAAAACCCAAAAAGGTCAGGTCGGTGGCATGTGCAGAGCCCGGGGGCCCCCTTGGGGTGTTGGTACTAAGTGACGTGTTAAGGCACTGGAGGGGGTCGTCATTTTGGGGTACGCGAGATGGCTGCTCTGTTTTGCCGCAAGATAAGGCGCTGAGCAGCAGACGGGGCACAAAGGGGTGAGGTGGGTGGGAGGAGGAGCAGGGCTCATCCCTGCATTCTCTGTGTTTGGGGGGTCACTCCCTGTTGTGCTCAGGGCCAGCCGCGTGCAAGGCCAGCGCCCAAATCCCTGTACTGTCACTCCGATCTCTTTTTTTATTTTTATTTTATTTTATTTTTTTGGTTTTTGGGTCACACCTGGCGACGCACAGGGGTTCCTCCTGGCTCATGCACTCAGGAATCACTCCTGGCGTTGCTCAGGGCACCCTGTGGGATGCTGGGAATCGAACCCGGGTCGGCCGCGTGCCAGGCAAACGCCCTCCTCGTTGTGCAATAGCTCCAGCCCCCTGTAGCAGTCTTTAAACCCGCGTTATTGGGGCTGGAGAGAGAGCACAGCGGGTAGGGCGTTTTTGCCTTGCACGCGACCGACCTGGGTTCGATTCCCAGCATCCCATAGGGTCCCCTGAGCACCGCCAGGAGTGACTCCTGAGTGCAGAGCCAGGAGTAACCCAGGAGTAACCCCTGTGCATCGCCGGGTGTGACCAAAAAAATAAAATAAATAAATAAACCTGCGTTAATGTCTGGTTGGGTTGTAATAACGTGCCGCTTTTTCTGCGTTGAGTTCCAACCGAGTCCTCAGTGGCATGGCTTTGATCAGCTCAGTGAAGATGTAGTGATGACTGGCCCTGTCTCGCAGCGTCCCTTCTGTCTCTACGTCTGCCACCAGCTTCCGCTGCCAGACTGGGCAGAGCTCCTGGTTCAGCTCCTGGCAGCCCCAGACTGGCAGGATGTGAGCACAGACCAGGTAGCTAGGCCAACTGCCTGGCATCTCTGCGTCCCGCTGCCCAGTGCCACCCGAGTCCTGCTCGTGGTTCCCCCGGAGCTGAGCAGGGATTCAAGGCAGTCAGGCCACCCCGGTGGGTTCTGAAAGCGGAGCCCCCCTCGCGTGCCCGAGAACAACCCTGGCCCCAGCCCCCTGCAGCCCCCCAGGTTCTCTCTCTGGCATGTATTGCTGGGGGTGGACCCCAGAGCCTACTCACCCGAGACAGCGCTGGACCCCTGAACCACATGCCCTGCGCCATTTAAAAAAAATTTTTTAGGGGCTGGAGCAATAGCACAGTGGGGAGGGCGTTTGCCTTGCATGCAGCAGACCCGGCTTCGATTCCCAGCATCCCATAGGGTGCCCTGAGCACTGTCAGGGGTAATTCCTGAGTGCAGAGCCAGGAGTAACCCCTGTGCATCTCCAGGTGTGACCCAAAAAGGAAAAAAAAAAGTAAATTTTTTTTTTTTTATTAAATCACCATGAGAGGGGCTGGAGCAATAGCACAGCGGGTAAGGCGTTTACCTTGCACGCAGCCAACCCGGGTTCGATTCCCAGCATCCCATATGGTCCCCCGAGCACTGCCAGGAGTAATTCCTGAGTGCATGAACCAGGAGTAACTCCTGTGCATCGCCGGGTGTGACCCAAAAGCAAAAAAAAAAAAAAAATTTAAAAAATCACAACGCTTTCAAAGCTATTGATGACCAGGTTTCAGTCTTACAGTGTTCCAACACCCGTCCCTTAACCAGTGCACGTTTCCCAGCACCAGGGTCCCCAGGTTCCCTCCCATCACCCCTCACCCCCACCCCCTGCCTGCTTCTATAGCAGAAACTTCTCTCTCTCTCTCTCTCTCTCTCTCTTTCTCTCTCTCCCCCCCTCCCTCTCTCTCCCCCCTTTGAGGCATTGTTGTTTGTAATACAGATACTGAAAGGTTATCAGGTATATCCCTTTATCTACTTTCAACACTCGGTTCTTACCCAGCGTGATCCTTCCCAGCTCTTATTGTCATCCTGATCCCTTCTCTATCTTTTTTTTTTCTTTTTGGGTCACACCCGGCGATGCACAGGGGTTACTCCTGGCTCTGCACTCAGGAGTCACTCCTGGTGGTGCTCAGGGGACCCTATGGGATGCTGGGAATTGAACCCGGGTCGGCTGCGTGCAAGGCAAACGCCCTCCCTGCTGTGCTATCGCTCCAGCCCCTAGCAGCCTCTTCTTACTTGTCTTTATATCTCATCTTTAATATCCTATACTCAGGAATTACTCCTGGCTTGGGGGACCCTATGGGATGCTGGGAATTGAACCCGGGTCGGCTGCGTGCAAGGCAAACGCCCTACCCGCTGTGCTATCGCTCCAGCCCCCCTTCTCTGTCTTACCTGCCCTCTGCCCCAGGCACACTTGTGGTTGATTCCAACCATTCACCAGCCCCTGTTTAACCTGACCGTGGATATTAGTCCCCTACTATATATGTGTATGTGTATGTATAAACACATATATACATACTATACGGTATCACTGTATCACTGTGGGGGGTGGGGGGTGGGAATCGAACCCAGGTTGGCCGCATGCAAGGCAAACGCCTGCCCCGCTGTGCTACTGCTCCAGCCCTGTTTCTGTGTTTTGGGCTCCTGTTGCTTCTTCCTGGGGCTGAGGATGGAACCCGGAACCTCACACACACAGCCCGAGCACTGCGTCAGCAGCTCCACCCATGGGTGGGGCGGGGCTGTGTCTGGGGGGGGGGGGCCTGGCGCAGACCCCACCTCATGCGGAGGCTGCACTCTGAGCTCCAGGCTCCTTGCCAGCCTTGGCCCAGGGCCTCCCAGGCTGCTGCTCCCAGTGGACTCCTCCTTGGTGCTCCTGGCTCAGGGACTCCACTGCCACCAGTCTGAGACCAGAGACTCCCGGATTATCCTCAGTTTCCCTCCCCTCCACTCCTACCCTCTGCCAGTCTGTTGTGCCAATTTCTTTCTTTCTTTCTTTCTTTCTTTCTTTCTTTCTTTCTTTCTTTCTTTCCTTTTTCTTTTTGGGTCACACCCGGCGATGCACAGGGGTTACTCCTGGCTCTGCACTAAGGAACGACTCCTGGCGGTGCTCAGGGGACCATATGGGATACTGGGAATCGAACCTGGGTCAGCCGTGTGCAAGGCAAACGCCTTCTCCGCTTGCTATTTCTCTAGCCGCCCCTTTTTTGTAAATCTTTTTTTTTGTTTCGGGGGCACATCCATGTGTTCAGGGGTGACTCCTAGCTTTACACTCAGGAATTACCCCTGGCAGTGCTCAGGGAACCCTATGGGATGCTGGGGATCGAGCCCAGGTTGCCTGCGTGCAAGGCAAATGCCTTTCTCGTTGTATTGTCACTCTGACACTAAATTTCCTTTTTTTTTTTTTTGACTTTGAGACCACACCCATGTACTCACGGGTTTCTACTGGCTCTGCACTCAGTAATTACTCCTGGCAGGGCTTGGGGGACCCTATGGGATATTGGGGATCAAACCCAGGTTGGCTGTATGCAAGGCAAATATACCCACTGTACTATTGCAACAACCCCTTAATTGTAAAAAAATTTTGGTTCATACCCAGCTGTGCTCAGGGTTTTCTCCTGGCAGTGCTCAGGGGACCATATTGGTGCCGGAGAAATAACCCCAGCTTGGCCATGTGCCAGGCAAACGCCCGCCCTCTCTGTACTGTGGCTCCAGCCCCCAGTTTGGATAGTTTTGATAAATGCCTTCTTCCTTTCACTCTCCCAGCCTCCACCGAGCTGGGACCATCATCCTTTTTTAACTAGGTCACAGTGGCAGCCTTAGTACTGTTCCCCCCAAACACGCGCGAGCAGGCCTCCTCTCCCATCTGAGATCAGGCCTTTCCCCTTGCCTGTCTGCCCATTGCCTCCCCTCTCAGACTCAGCAGGAAGGACACCTCCCCTGAAAGTCTTCCTGGATTGCCCCCTGGTCCCCCACACTCAGTTCTGGTGTAACTATCCGCCATAAGCACCCCTTCGGAGCAAGGTGACCTTGGCCGAGGCCCTAACAGACCAGAACACAGTTTCCAGGAGGCAGGGGAAGTCTTAGTCAGCACCTCCTGTGGGTCTGGGACTGTTGCCAATATCTCAAAATCAAATGGCAGAAGCATGAGGCCTGAGGAGGGGAAAACGGGTTCAGAGCTGGGAGGAGGGAGAAGACCCTCACCCTCGTCAGCAGGCTGTAGAGATGTTAATTCGTGGATCAACATCAAGGCCCAGGGATGGCAAGAAACAAGCTGGAGAGATAGAGCAGGGGTTAGAGCACTGGCCTTGCATGCAGCCGACCCAGGTTCGATCCCCAGCACCGGGCAGGAGTTCCCCAACTTGATTTCTGAGCAGGAGTCTGGAGTCAGCCCTGCGTAGGTTAAGTACCCAGGTACTCAGCCCAAGAAGCAAAACAAACACAAACTGAGACACAAACTTAGGCTATTCCAAGCACCCTTCAGAGCGCAGGGGGGTGGGGGGTGGGGTCTATTCCACAGCGGGGAAGGCTGTGGAGTCATATTCCCATCTATTCCCCCTGGGTACAGTCAGGTCGGGTCCCTTCTACTAAACCTCCGGAGTCAGCCAACATTCATGTGACTGTCACATGCGCACCGCTGGGAGCAGCCTCAAAACCAATGAAAGAAACTGAGGTGCATGTGTGTGTGTGGGGGGGGGGGGGGCAGGGTGTCAGGCCATATCCGGCAGACTCAGGGCTCACTCCTGGCAGTGCTTGGGTGCTAAGTTAGGGACTGTCACATGTGTGCAAGGCCTGTGCCATCCTCCCTACGTAATTCCTTTGCAAATGTATGACTGCTGAGGAACCGTTTGGAACCGCTGGAAACAAGCTAAGGAGTAAGGGAAGAGATGATGCGGCCCTTTAAACCTCCAGAGAGCCAGAGCCGCAGACCACAGCCGCAGGGCAGAAGGCTTGTGACCCAGAGAGAGAAGACCGCTCCGAAGTGTTCTCTGAGCCCCATGAGAAAGAGGCCAGAGCATGGAGGATGTTTACTTTGCGTGCGGCTGAGTTCAATCCCCAGCATCACTTATGATGAGCCAGGAGTAAGCCCCCAAATCCAAAAACAAAAAAAATAAGGCCAAAACATCTGGCCTAATTTTTTTTGGGGGGTTCCCATCCGGCGATGCTCAGGGGTTACTCCTGGCTCAGCACTCAGGAATCACTCCTGGCGGTGCTCGGAGGACCATACGGGATGCTGGGAACCGAACCCGGTTAGGCTGCGTGCAAGGCAAACGCCCTACCCACTGTGCTATTGCTCCAGTCCCCTGGCCTAATGTTTTGGCCTTATTATTATTATTATTATTATTATTATTTTTTAGCACAGCAGGTAGGGCATTTGCCTTGCACGTGGGGTTTGATTCCCAGCATCCCATATAGTCCCCTGAGCACTGCCAGGAGTAACTCCTGAGTGCAGAGCCAGGAGTAACCCCTGTGCATCACCGGGTGTGACCCCAAAAAGGAAAAAAAAAAAAGACTGGCCAAAGGGCTGGACGCAGGCTTCACACGGTGCTGGGGAGGCCAAAAAAGAAATCCCAAAAGACAAAATGAGGAAGCTGAGGCAGAAGGTAAGGGGATGTGTGTGTGTATGGGGGGGGGGGAGGACGCATCACTGTTGCTTGCTCTTCGGTGTCCTTGACATCACTGTCTGAGCCGCTATCTGCAAACCAGTGGCAGACTAGAGTCCCCAGGTTGGCTCCTCTGGGGGAGTGCTGGCTGGGATGTGTGTGTGTGTGTTGTTTTGCTGCATTTTTGGTTTTGGCCACACCTGGCTGTGCTCAGAGCTGACTCCTGGTGGGGCTTGGGAGACCTTCTGGGGTGCTGAGGATCAAACCCGGGTTAGCTGCATGCAAGGCAAGCGCCCTCTGTGCTGTAGTATGGTCTGTCCCCTGATTTGGGGCCATGCCCTTGGTGGTGCCTGGCACCCCGCGGTCTCCACCCCTCTGGTTACCCCTGATAAGGCCGCGGTTGGAACAGTCTTGGGGATGGGTCAGGTGGTATCTGTGACCCGCCGGGACAGACGCGTAGTCGCGGGTCGGCCGCGCGCAAGGCAAAACACCCCACCCACTATCCTATCGCTCTCCACCCACGGATGAAGCGTTTTGCGGGCCTGGGACAGTCTTGCAATGGGCATTTGCTTCCTCGCCCTTCCGACCCCCATCCCCGTCTTAAAGACCCCTAATGGGGGGGCCGGGAAAATGAGGCGGGGGGTTGGGGGTGGGGGTTTGGCTCGCCGACTAGAAGATGCTGCCTCCCAGGCTCCCCGACCCCGCCCTGCGCCAAAGGTCTCGGTGCCTCTGCAGTCTGGGACTTTGCACTTGCAACTGGAAAAGATGTGAGCACCGTAACCGGGAGAGCGAGGGGGGGGCTCGGTGGCGATCCCCGCCCCTCCCCAGGGAGCGCCGCGACCATCAAACAACAAAGGGGAATGGGTGACTGCAGACCACGGGACGTCATCCTGGAGAGAGTGCGCAGTTTAGAAAGCTGCACCCACCCCTCCCGCGCCCAGGCAGCAACTAGCCGGGCGGCGGCTCCCGGGGGAGAGCGACAAGGCGGGGGCGGGCCTTGCGCGCACGCCCCGCCCCGCCCCGTCCCGTCCCGTCCCGCGGCGGCCGCTGGGGGGCGCTGAGCGCACACTCGCCGGCGGCGCGGACCTTGGCCGCGGTGGGGGGGAAAGCCGCCTTGAGGCCGCTCTAGCCGCGCCCTTTTCGGCTGCTCCGCCGGGGGCCGGCAGCGCCGCGGGGGTCCCTCCAAGATGGCGGCGCAGAGGAGGAGCCTGCTACAGAGTGTGAGGACCCCCCCCCACGCCCCGCTTTTCGGACTGCGAGGCTGGGAGCCCGGGGTGGAGGGCGGCGGGGAGGCTGCCGGGTGCTCGAGTGGCGGCCGGGCCGCGCGCGTGTCCGTGGCGGGAGTGGCCGCGCGCAGCCCTGGAGGACCGGGAGGACCCCGGAGCGCGGAGGCCCGAGCGGGTGTGCGCGTGCGCGGCGGCGGCGGGGCGGGGCGTGTGTGCGCGTGCGCGGCAGCGACGGCGCGTCGGGGCGTGTATGCGCGTGCGCCGCGGCGGCCCGAGGCGGAAGCTGCCGAGTCCGCTCGGCCGCTCCCGTCTCGGAGCCGAAGCTTCTCCCGGGCCGGCTGAGTCTCGCGACTGCCCCCCGCCGGCCGTCCCGTGCGGTGACAGATGAGGAAACAGGCCCAGCGAGGCCCCGAGGCCACGCAGCTGCGGCATTACAATTAGTCTGGGGGCCCCGGAGCGATGGTCCAGCCGGGAGGGAGTTTCCCTTGCACGCGGTCGACCCGGGTTCGATTCCCAGCATCCCATAGGGACCCCCGAGGACTGACAGGAGTAAGTTCTGAGTGCAGAGCCAGGAGGGACCCTTGTGCATCGCTGGGTGTGACCCTCCCCCCAAAAGCAAAATAAAATAAAATTAGTTTGATGATATGAAACCCGCTGTGCGTGTGTGTGTGTGTGTGTGTGCGTGTGTGTATGTGTGTGTGTGTGCGCGTGTGAGATTTTGGTGTTTGGCAACGAGGTGTTATTTCAAGTGGCTGCTTCCTGCTTTCATCTCTGAACTCCAGGTGCCCTCTGGGCGGTTCCCACGATGCCCTGCCAGTCCCTCCTGGCTCCTGGGTGTAAAGCCAGCGCTGGGGGTCTCTCACTCTCACCTCTTTTTTCCTTTTTGTGTCTTCTTGGGCCATACCCGGCAGTGCTCAGGATTTACTCCTGGCGGTGCCACAGGATGCCGGGGTTCGGGGGATCAAACCCCCTACCTACTGGCTTGTTGCTCTCACTCCAGCACCCGACCCCCTTCACCTCTAGCTGAGGGGAAGAAATGGCCGCCGGAGCAGGTGCAGCCTGTCTGGTGCTTACTGAGCCTCGTCCTGCCTCAGTTTCCCATAGGGGAGAGCACAAGCTTGGAGGCTCCTCCCGACCACCCGCTACCCTCCTGGGTTGTGGTTGTTGGCCCTGGGCCTCCAGGTTATGGAAACTCCTGCCTTTTTGCTGGGGGGGGGGGGGGTGGTGGTGCTGTGATTGAACCCTTCCACCAGGACCACCCACCAGGGGATATACATGCAAAACAGGGAGGAAGCAAACTTGGGGTTCACAGCCTCCAGGGCTTCCCTCTTCCTGAGCTTCACCCCCACGGGTGCTATGCAGATGTCCCCTGGAAGGGCCCAGGAGGACCCAGTGGGCAGAGAACTCAGGCTCTGCATGCAGGACCCCTAAGTTTCGTCCCCCTGAGAGCCATCAGGAATAGCCCCTGAGCGCCATGGGCTGTGGTCCCAAAGACAGAAAAATTTTTTTTTGATTTTTGCCTGGACTATGCATTATTTATGAGGAAAAAAATCAACCTGTGTCTTTTTTTTTTTTTACTTTTTTTTTTTTTTGAGGGAGGTGGGGTGTGCCACACCCAGCAAATGCTCAGGGCTCTATGCTCAGGGATCACTCCTGGCCGGGCTGGGCTCGAGGGACCATGGGTGATCCCAGGATCAAACCCGAATCTGCCCCATGCAAGGCAAAGTGCCTTCCCCTGTGTCCCCTGGCTCCGGCCCTGTGGTCTGTTTGGGTTTGGGGTTTAATTTACATATGTCCTGACATTGAACCAGGGACCTTTATTTATTTATTTGTTTGTTTGTTTGTTTTTTGCTTTTTGGGTCACACCCAGCGATGCTGAGGGGTTACTCCTGATTCATGCACTCAGGAATTACTCCTGAATGTGCTCGGGGGACCATATGGGAAACTGAGGATCGAATCCGGGTCGGGCCGCGTGCAAGGCAAATGCCCTACCCACTGTGCTATCACTCCAGCCCCAAACCAGGGACCTTTAGATCTTCAGTCTAACTCTCCCAACTGAGCTGTTTCAGTGACAGCAATAGCACAGCAGGGAGGGCGTTTGCCTTGCATGCGGCCGACCCGGGTTCGATTCCTCCGCCCCTCTCGGGGAGCCTGGCAAGCGACTGAGAGTATCCCCGCCCGCATGGCAGAGCCTGGCAAGCTCCCCGTGGCGTATTCGATATGCCAAAAAACAGTAACAATAAGTCTCACAATGGAGACGTTACTGGTGCCTGCCCAAGCAAATCGTTGAAGGACGGGAAGACAGTGCTACGTGCTATGTCCTGACGTAGCTGAAGCTCCAGGTGCTCGCTGAGCATTTTTCTCGAGTGTGCATCAGATCAGGCACCCCTTAGCACAAAGGCATCCGGGACATCCTGGGCGGGGGGCACGGTGCCCGCCGACACCCCTCGCGCAGCTCCTGGGAATGAATCAGGCTCTGTGTGGGTCGGAGACAGAGCCGCTTTGATGCGGGGCCCCCGGGGGCGGGGGGGAGGCGGTGGGCCCAGAGAAGCCTCAGGGAAACTGGGTCACTCCCGCGGGGGTGGGGGGCCAGGACCTCCACTCCCCACTGGGGACACCCCCACGGCCGGCCTCTGTCTTTCTCGGAGCTTCCTTTGCCCCTCGCTGGAATCTGGGTGCTTTCGCCGGGAACACTCGGCCTTTTCATGCCTTTTCATGCGAGAATTCGATATTCAAGCTGTGACCCGAGCCCGGGCTTTGTCCCTCCTGCCCAGACCGGGCCTGGTCCCTGTGGGGACTTTCCTGGGCTGTGTTTGTGGGACCGGGTCACGTGTCGGTGTGGGGCCCTCGCTCGGGCTTGACCCACTGCCCGGTCCTACCCGGGCTCAAGGCAGCCGGATTGTGGTGGGGTTGGGGCTGTATTTACGGTGCCCTCGGATGAGACTTGGGGGATTCTCCTTTTCTCAGTCACTCCCTTTTGGGAGTCGCCCCACCCCCCCCCTTGGTGCCGGCATGTATGGGCGTGGGAGAAAGTTCGAGCATCCGTGTGCGCTGGGGTGGGTGGGGCCTGGTACATCCCGGAGATGTGGCCTTCCCCGGAATTCTCTGAAGTGTGGGAGCCAGCCCAGAGCGGCCGTGGCTGAGGGAGGGATCTGGGGGGGCTCCTGCTGGAGTCAGCACCCAGAGCCCCGTACTCCCACCCCCGGGATTTTTCTGCCACCCTGTTGCTTCTTTTTTTTTTTTTTCCTTTTTGGGTCACACCTGGCAATGCTCAGGGCTTACTCCTGGCTCTGCACTCAGGAATCACTCCTGGCGGTGCTCGGGGAACCATATGGGATGCTGGGAATCGAACCCGGGTGGGCCGCATGCAAGGCAAACGCCCTACCCACTGTGCTATTGTTCCGGCCCCAAGCACTTGTTCATTTTGGTGGTGGTAGGGGAGGCGGGCGGAGAGGCGGATAGCAGACGGTGCTCCCGGGCAGTGCTCAGAAGTCTGGCGGTCTGCACTGGTCTTGGCCAGCTGGGCTGGTGCTGCCCAGGCCCCGCGGTTTGGAGGTGCTGTGGGGGGGGGGGCCCAGGGCCGTCCCGGTCGTGCTCAGGGCCCACGTGGTGCTGGGATCAGCCCAGGTTGGACCTGTTCCCTAACCACTGTGCTGCCCCACCCCTTGTGGTAAGAGTCAGGGTGGTGCCGGCACTGCCCATGGGGGGCCCATGGGTGTGTCTGAGGCTCAGCAGGCCCGGGCTGTGGTTTGAGCTCAGTCTCGAGAGCGGCCCAGAGACCCAGTCACTGCGACCAGCCGGAAGGGCAGGCTGAGATGGGCCTTTATCCCCGGTGCCTCAGGGTCCTGCCACCAGTGAAGTCTGATCGCCACCAGGTGTGACCCCAAGACGACAACTAGCAGATGGGCCTTTGGGTGGGGGAGGTCCCACCACCACCGCCCCCCACCCCGCCCCGCCACCCCGGGCCAGATTAGCGGCCCAACAGCTCCGAGCTCTGCTTCTGTTTCTGTTTGAGTCTGGCCGAGCTGGCTGCCGCTCCTGGACCCGCAAAGAATTCTGGCCACTTTGGCCCAGGGTGTGTGAGCCCTAAGGGCAAGTGTGGGCAGCCCCGCACCCTGAGGCACAGACCCCCCACCCCACCCCCACTGCAGCCACGGGGACCCCCTCGAAGGCAAGGGGAGGTGAGGAGGGGAGAGACAGACTAGATAATAAACCCAGTGGCCAGTTCATGGTTCCAGGCTGCAGCCGGACAGTGGCCCTGGGGCCACACGGCTCCTAGCCTGGGGGGGTGTGCAACACACACACACACACACACACACACACACATCCTTGGGCAGGGTGTGGTGTGAGCCTCTCACAGCCTCGGTGCCTTTTAGCTGATGCTCACTAACCCTCCTCCTCCTCCTCCTCCTCCTCCTCCTCCTCCTCCTCCTCCTCCTCTTCCCCCTCCTCCTCCTCCTCCTCCTCCTCCTCCTCTTCCTCCTCCTCCTCCTCCTCCTCCTCCTCCTCCTCCTCTTCCTCCTCCTCTTCCTCCTCCTCCTCCTCCTCCTCCTCCTCCTCCTCCTCCTCCTCTTCCTCCTCCTCTTCCCCCTCCTCCTCCTCCTCCTCCTCCTCCTCATTCTCCTCCTCCTCCTCCTCCCTCTCTTTTTTTTTCTTTTTGAGGGACTCCCAGCGATGCTCAGGGGTCCCTCCTGGCTCTGCACTCAGGAATCACTCCTGGCGGTGCTCGGGGGACCCTATGGGATTCCAGGCATTGAACCCAGGTCGGCCGCATGCCAGGCCAACGCCCTCCCCGCTGTACTATCGCTCCGGCCCGCTTCCTCCTCTCCTTTGCTTGCTTCTTTATAAAAAACAGAGGCCAGGCGCCCTCTCAGACTGCAGCGTGAGTCAGTTTAGTAACCCTGTTTCCTTTGGGTTTCTTGGGATCGGGTCCCAAGACTGGAATCCCCCCTCAGTGGGAGTCCAAGCGGCAGGTTAGACCGAGAGTGAAGGTGTCTGGGAAGGGTCTGGGAAGGGGGGCTCTGGCCCCGGCTGCATCTGGGCGGGATCTGGGTGCTCAGGGCCTGGGCCGACAGACAGGGTTCCATGGGATGCTTGTTGCTATGTACGTGCTTTGGGTCCTACTTTGTATTTGTTGGTTTTTGTCGGTTCGGGGCCACACCTGGCCGTGCTCAGGGACCACTCCTGGTGAGGGTGGGGGGGACCCTGTGCAGTGCCAGGGATCACACCGGGGTCGGTAGCATGCCAGGCTAGTGCCCCATCCACTTTCTTTGACTTCACTGGCTTATTTTCCTTATTTTTCCCCTTTTTTGGCCACACCTGGTGGTGCTCAGGACTTACTCCGGACGACGCTCAGGGGGTTACTCCTAGGTCTGTGCTCGGGTCACTCCAGACGTGGGGTGGATGCTGGGGATAGAACCTGGGTCGGCTGCGTGCAAGGCAAGCGCCCTCCCCACTGTTGTATCTCTCCGCCCCCCCCCCCCCCACTTTCATTGCTTCAAGTCAGGCCAGTGGCTGGGAGCGGAGGTTTCAAGGGTGGGATCGAGCGCCTCGAGGCCGGTGGGGTCCCTGCGGCTGGCCCCGCGGTGCTGGCCCTGAGGGTCAAGAGCGCCTCCTGGGAGGTGCCCCCATCCCGGCAAGGTCTCCCCACTGGCGCCAGCCTCGTCCTGTCTGTGGGGGGGGGGGACACCTCTCCCGTCAGAGGTGGGTGAACTTCCCGCGGTGGTGTGGGGTTCGTCGGGGAAGTCTCATTTGCAGAAAGGGTCTGTGGGGCCCTGGGAGGGGGAGCTTGGAGGGTTGTCAGCAGGCGAGGGGCCGCACAGGCCAGGAAGATGGGTGTGAATTTTGGTGTGAAGAGTCTTCCCAGGGAGGGGCTGGAGCGATAGCACAGCGGGGAGGGCGTTTGCCTTGCACGCAGCCCACTCGGGTTCGATTCCCGGCATCCCATATGGTCCCCCAGCACTGCCAGGAATAATTTGTGAGTGCATGAGCTAGGAGTAACCCCTGAGCATCGCTGGGTGTGACCCAAAAAGAAAAAAAAAGTCTTCCTGGGGGACTGGGGAGTGATATAGGTCAGCAGGGAGGGTGTTTGCCTTGCGTGGCCAACCCGGGTTTGATGCCCAGCACCCCATATGGTCCCCCATATCCTGCCAGGAGTGAACCCTGAGCATCCCCAGGTGTGGACCCCAAGGCAAAAATCCAAACCAGAATGCCCCTGTCTGGGGTCCGAGTCCAGCGGGGCGGGTGCTTGCTTTGCACACGGCCATCCTAGGCTTGCCGAGCTCCACCAGCCATGGATCCCCGAGCACAGAGCCAGGGGTAAGCCCTGAGCACAGCCAGGTGTGGCCCCAAACAGACGAACGAACAAAAAAAGAGTCTTGGTGTGGGGGGGTGGTGTGTGCAGAGTACAGCGGGTAGGAACTGACTGGGTTCAAACCCCAGCACCAGCAGAATCACTCCTGTGTAGAGGTAGGGACAGCCCCTGAGCACCGCCGGATGTGAGAGAGAGACAGAGAGAGACAGAGAGAAGAGGAGACCCAGAGAGACAGAGAGAGAGGAAGAGAGACAGACAGAGAAGAGGAGACACGGACAGAGAGAGAGAGAGACAACGAGAACAGAATCCCAAACAACAGAGTCCCAAACTGGCACCATGGGGGCCGGAGAGATAGCCTAGTGGGTGGGGCTGAGTGTCCCCACCCCCGGTGTCCTGCGTCGGGGACCCCCCCAGCGTGTTCTGAGGAACGTGCGTGGGCAGCAGGCCCGGAGGTGACACTGGTTCCCAATGGCCTGGCAGGAGCAGCAGCCCAGCTGGACAGACGACCTCCCGCTGTGCCACTTGTCCGGGGTGGGCTCGGCGCCCAACCGGACCTACGCGGCGGACGGCAAGGCCGTGGAGAGCCACCCACCCGAGGACAGCTGGCTCAAGTTCAGGTGAGGGTTGCGCCCCCCCCCCACACTGGCCTAGGGCGGGGGGCTGCGGGGGCCGGCGGCTGTACCCAACCTCCCCTTTCTGCAGGAGCGACAACAACTGCTTCCTGTACGGGGTCTTCAATGGCTACGAGGGCACCCGAGTCACCAACTTCGTGGCCCAGCGGCTGTCGGCGGAGCTGCTTCTGGGCCAGCTCAGTGCCGAGCGCACCGAGGCCGACGTGCGGCGGGTGCTCCAGCAGGTGCGAGCCGGTCGCGGGGGTTTGGGGCCCCCACGGCCTTGCCTGTCCGGCTTCTGCTGGCCCCCGCCTGGGGCTCATTGAGGGATGGGGTGGGGGCAGCGTGGACCTCCTGGATCCAGCCCGTGGGCTGTGGTAAGGGCCCAGTTGTTCTAGAACTTTCTCTGGTGCCTGTCTCACGCACCTTCTCCCAGTGCTGGTCTCACCTCCCAGGTGACAAGCCTGAGGTCCCATCGCCCAGCCAGCAGGGGGCAGAGCTGGAATATGTGTACACAAACACACACACACACTCACACCCATGTACTCACACACATACACACACTCATACACATTCTCACACATATACTCACACATATACACACTCTCACACATCCATACTCACACACACATTCACATACACATACATGCACTCACACACACACTCATACACACACACACACACACACACACACGGCACGGGAAACAGTTCACACACTCCTGTGACACTCTTCACACACCCCTGAGCACACCTCTGGGCTGAGGCCCTGTCATGCTGCGTGGACAGTCCCTGCGGTGTTGGCGACGTTTAGGGCGGGGGGAGCCCGTTCTCCTGCGGCTGCCCCAGGCGTCCGAAGCCGCTGACCCGAGCCCGTCCTGCCCCCAGGCCTTCGACGTGGTGGAGAGGAGCTTCCTGGAGTCCATCGATGACGCGCTGGCCGAGAAGGCCAGTCTGCAGTCCCAGCTGCCCGAGGTAAGCCCGCGCCCACCGCCTGCCACCCCTGCCCCGGGCCGCCCCGTCTGAGGTCTGAGCCAAGCCCCTGCCCCCAGGGCGTCCCCCAGCACCAGCTGCCGCCGCAGTACCAGAAGATCCTGGAGAGGCTGAAGGTGTTGGAGCGGGAGACGTCGGGCGGCGCCATGGCCGTGGTGGCCGTGCTCCTCAGCGACAAGCTCTACGTGGCCAACGTGGGTGAGCCGCACCCGCCGCCCCGCCCGCCCACCTGTCCCCGCTGCCGCCCGGGGGGCTGCTCGGAGGAGGCCCAGCTGCTTTCGCTGCTGCCCCTCACAGACCCGGGAGGGGTCACCCCAGGCCTCTGCGGGGGGTGGGCTGCCTGCGGGGACAGTGAGGCCACCTCAGGGAAGGCCGCAGGGACCGGAACTCTGCCGAGCGGGTCCCCTGGGAGTCACGGTCACCCGCCGAGACACCCGCTCCCACGCCCCTTCCGGCCATTCCCGAGAACAGCATGCGCGTCCCTCTCCACCCCGTCCCCTCCCCTCCCACCCTCCCCCTCCCTCCCCTCCCCTCTCTCCCTGCTCCCTGCCCCCCGCCTGCCCCAGCCCCGCTCAGCCGCCCCCTCTGTCCCCTCTGTCCTGTCGCAGGGACGAACCGCGCTCTCCTGTGCAAGTCCACGGTGGACGGGCTGCAGGTCACGCAGCTGAACGTGGACCACACCACGGAGAACGAGGACGAGCTCTTCCGCCTCTCGCAGCTGGGTGAGTCGGGGGGGTGGTGCAGGGCCCCCCAGCCCACCTTCTTTTGGGGGGTATGTAAGTAGCAGGCTAGTTGAGCTCCTCCACTTCGGCCCGTCTGTTCCTCAGTTTCCCCGTGGGGCTAGTGGGGACCCGGGGGTGCCGTGCGCAGACGACTCGGAGGTCCTGGTACCCCCGAGTCCCCACAGCCTTGTGCTGCCCTCGGAGACGCTGCTGTCCCCAGGCGGCCCTGGGTGCAGAGTTTGCTGGCGGCCGAATCCTCACCCAGTTCCTGGGGCGGTGTCTGTGTCCCGCGGGGGCCAGGCCCGACCCCGGCACGCTCTGTCCGCAGGTCTGGACGCGGCGCGGATCAAGCAGGTGGGGGTCATCTGCGGGCAGGAGAGCACCCGGCGCATCGGGGACTACAGGGTCAAGTACGGCTACTCGGACATCGAGCTCCTCAGGTGCGCCGCGGCCTGCATTGCGGTCCTAGCACTGACCCCCCGTCCCTGCACTGACCCCCCATCCCAGCACTGACCCCCCCCGTCCCAGCACTGACCCCTGACCCCCCGTCCCTGCACTCAACCCCCGTCCCAGCACTGACCCCCCCATCCCAGCACTGACCCCTGACCCCCCGTCCCTGCACTCAACCCCCATCCCAGCACTGACCCCCCCGTCCCAGCACTGACCCCCCATCCCAGGACTGATCCCTGACCCCCCGTCCCTGCACTGACCCCCCCATCCCAGCACTGACCCCCCAGTCCCAGCACTGACTCCCCCGTTTCAGCACTGACCCCGTCCCCCAGCCACCCAGCACAGCCCAGTCACTCTCTCCCCAGCGCCGCCAAGTCTAAGCCCATCATCGCGGAGCCCGAGATCCACGGTGCGCAGCCCCTGGACGGGGTCACGGGCTTCCTGGTGCTCATGTCCGAGGGGCTGTACAAGGCGCTGGAGGCCGCGCACGGGCCCGGCCAGGCCAATCAGGTGAGCCTGGCGGGCGGGCGGGCGGGCGGGCGCCGCGTCCCCCGTGCCCTCCCCCTGGGCCCCGGAACCCCAGACAACTCGCTGTGGGTCATTTGCCGCTGCCCCGACTCGGGGTCCTACTGGGGGTGACGTAGCCGTGTGTTCTGGAAGCCCCTTCCTGCCCTCAGGAGTTGGTCTTTCTGCTCCGGCTCTCAGCCTTTTTATTTTGTTTTTAGGGGTGGGGGGGCGCGGGTCGCACCCACTGATGCTTAGGAGAGGCCTGGGGATCCCCCGGTGCTGGGCTTGAACCCCGGTCGGCTCTGCGATGAGCCAGGTGCCCTCACCGCTGTCCTGTCGCTCCGGCTCACACCATATTTTTGTTTGTTTTTTGTTCGAAATGTTCACACTGAGGGGCTGGAGAGATAGCACAGCGGGTAGAGTGTTCGCCTTGCACGTGGCCGACCTAGGTTCGATTCCCAGCATCCCATATGGTCCCCCGAGCACCACCAGGAGTCATTCCTGAGCGCACAGTAACTCCTGTGCATCGCCGGGTGTGACCCAAAAAGCAATAAATAAATAAATAAATGTTCACGCTGAATTCTCCAGTGTTCTCGAGTGCTGGCCTGGGGGCTCCTGAGTGCGGGGACCCGCCTAGCACGGCCTGGCCAGGCTCAGGTCCCCGACGGTCTGAGAATGTGCACGCGGTTGCGCCGTGGCCTCTGGGAAAGTTCCAGAAGGCGCGTCCCCGGTGGCCTGGCGGGGCGCCGGGGTGGCGGGCGGTGTGTCGGCGAGGGTCCCCCGCCCCGGGGTCCCGTCCTCAGCCGGTGTCACGCCCCGTGCCCAGGAGATCGCGGCCATGATCGACACCGAGTTCGCCAAGCAGACCTCGCTGGACGCCGTGGCGCAGGCCGTGGTGGACCGGGTGCGGCGGATCCACGGTGACACCTTCGCCAGCGGCGGGGAGCGCGCCAAGTTCTGTCCGCGGCACGAGGACATGACGCTGCTGGTGCGGAACTTTGGGTACCCACTGGGCGAGATGAGCCAGCCTGCACCCAGCCCTGCCCCAGGTGCGTGGGACCCTCCCCCCCCGCCCTGCACAGGCGACCCCCCGCCCTACCCCTGAACCCCCTCTTGGGTTGGGGGGGATCTGCAGCTGGCTCCGACTTTAGCCCCCCAAACCAGGCTGCCCAGGCTGCCCCCCCAGGTGGCCTCGTGTCCTGTCCTGTCACTTGGGGTTGCCGTCTCCTGGATGCGGGGGTAACCGCTGGCCAGCCATGCATGGTGCCCACTGCCCTCTCCGCCCCCCCCAGCCGCCGGGGGGCGCGTGTACCCCGTCTCCGTGCCCTACTCCAGCGCCCAGAGCACCAGCAAGACCAGCGTCACGCTGTCGCTCGTCATGCCCTCCCAGGGCCAGCTGGTGAACGGGACGCTCAGCGCCTCCACCCTGGATGAGGCCACGCCCACCCTCACCAAGTAAGCGGCTCCCCCGGCCGGTGCTCCCCAGCCAGTGCTCAGGTTCTCCTCTTGCTCCTGAGGGAGGAGGCTGCCCCCAGCCCTGGGTTGGGGTTGGGGTTGGGGTCGTGGGTGCAGGGGGGTGGGGTGGCGTGCTGGACTGCAGGCCATCTGCTCTCAGGCCGGCTGTGTCCACACAGGCCGGTTTCCTGCATCTGGAAGGTTCTCCGGGGCTTTTCTCTCATCCCAGCTTGGAGCCTCGACCCCCAGCTGCCCTGCTGGGGCCCTTGTCCGACCCGGCTGCTCCGCCCCCCTCCTCTGGGGTGGGTGCGAGTGTCCCACCTCCCTGCAGCTCACTGGATGGAGGCTGGGGAGGTCTGAGCTGGGAGAGGGGGGTGCGAGGCAGCCCCCTCCCCGCTGTGGAATGCGCCCCCCAACCCGGGATCAGCGGCTGTCTGGTTTCCACATTCCAGCCCTGCAGGGAATAATGGGGTGGCCACACCCAGCCCCTGGGGGAGGGGCCAGCTGGGCTGGAGGTCGCCCCCCCACAGGGCCGCCAGCTGTGTCCACAGAGGCAGAGTCCTCGGCAGAGGCTGGGCTGGCTGTTCGCTGGCCTGTCTGCAGGGCAGTTCCTGCGCTGGGGGTGTCTGTCCCCTAGAGCAAGGGGAGGGAACAAGGAAGGCTTTCTCACTGAAGAGCTGGTGGGGGAGGGGTGGAGCGCTAGCACAGCCGGTAAGGCAAACCGGCCAACCCGGGGTCGATTCCCAGCATCCCTTAGGGTCCCCCGAGCACCGGCCAGGAGTAATCCCAGAGCACCGCTGGGTGTGACCCAAAAAGAAGGGGAAAAAAAAGAGTTGGTGGGGGTGTTTGGGGGAGGGGGCGGTGCGACTGCCCTTCGCATGCACATGGTCCACCCCGGGTTCGATTCCCAGCTCCCCACATGGCCCCTCAGTCGTGCCAGGAGTGATCCCTGAGCACAGAGCCAGGAGTGAGCCCCTAAAACCGCCCGTTGGGGGCCCCAGGAGCTGTCTCAGCGGCTGTGCACATGCTCTGTGCCATCCCTGGCACCTCGTGGTCCTCCATATCTCGCGCAGGGCACCCCCGGGCACAGCCAAGAGTGACAGCCACGAGCACCCCAACCGGGGCGCAGAAACAGTCACATAAACAGAATAACTGGGGCTGGGATCATGGCTCAGTGGGGGGAGCTCACTGGGGTGTGGGCCCGGACCAGTGGCCACCAGAGCAGCCCAGGTGACCCCTGAGCACGGTGACCTCGCTGCAGGGGGGTCCCAAGCCCACCCCGCCCCGGTGCCTCCAGCCCCTGGCCCCCGGCTGTGGTGTCTTGGCTTGCGGGAGGGGGCTAGGCAGGGGACCGTGCCCTGAGCGTCCCCGTGTCCCCACAGCCAGAGCCCCACGCTGACACTGCAGTCCACCAGCACGCACACGCAGAGCAGCGGCTCCAGCTCCGACGGGGGCCTCTTCCGCTCCCGGCCAGCCCACCCGCTGCCCCCCGGGGAGGGCGGTCGCGTGGACGCCTACGTGGACTTCGCGGAGTTCTACCGCCTCTGGAGCGTGGACCATGGCGAGCAGAGCGGGGCGGCCGCCCCGTAGCCTGCGGGGTGCGGCCCAGGTGCTGGCTCCTGCCTCAAGCACCGGTGGGGACCCCAGCCTCAGCCCCCCCTCCCAGCTCAGGGCTGCAGCGACGCGCCCAGAGATGCTCCGACCGGCCCCGCCCGGACCCCCCCGCCTCGCCCGGGACACGTGAGGTCAGGCCAGAGGATCCCGCGGCCGGGTCCAGGCCCTCGGTCCCCGGGGGCCCCCCACACTCTGGACAGCCCCACCCGAGCTTCTCCACACCGAGTGGTCAGCGTGGGAGGGTCAGGGGTGTGTGGCTGCAGGGAGGGGGCTCCCCGGAGTGGGGCGCAGAGGGGGCGTGCGGCCGGGGAGCCTTGCCCTTCTCGGGCCGTCGAGGAGGGGGCAGGGAACGGGGTGAGTGGACGCTGCCCGGTGCTTCCACTCTTGTGGAGACCCTGAGGTCAGCAGCGGCCACCGACAGGGACAGCAACGTGACAGCAAGCTGAGGGTCCCGGGGGCTGATGTCCATGTTCCAGCCCAGGGACCGCCCCGCCCACCCACTCCCCTGGGCTCGGCCTTCCCGTGGGCGGGGGCGGGCGGCAGGGACAGCGCCCGGCGGCCTCGGGGGGAGCCAGGGACAAACTGCTGGTCGCGCGGTGCCCCCCCCCCCCCCACCAAGCCACTGCCCGCTGCGCCCTGATGCCCGACCTCGGGGGCCGGTCTTTGGGCTCTGGGAGGCAGTGGCCCCCCACACCCCGTCCCGCCTGTGCTGGTGAGCGGGTTCAGGCTGCCCGGGTCGGGGGACCTGCCTGGGCTCACGAAATAGAGCCTCTGCAGGGAGGAAGCCCAGGGGGAGAGTCCGCGCCGCTGCTTCCTCCTCCCTCTGACCAGCTCCCCCTCCTCCCTCTGAAGGGTTCTTCTTCCTCCCTCTGACCCGCTCTTCCTCCTCTCTCTGCCTCTTCCTCCTCCCTCTGACTGGCTCTTCCTCTACCCTCTGACCAGCTCCTCCTCCTCCTCCCTCTGACCAGCTCTTCCTCCTCCCTCTGCCTCTTCATCCTCCCTCTGACCTCCTCTTCCTCCTCCCTCCGAGCACATCCCAGGAGGTGAACCCTCCGTACTGGTCACTGGACAGCAGGGGTGGCGGGGGGCTCACTGTTAGCGGATAGGTAGCTTCTTGCCTGGGTTTGGGGGTGGACACTCTTCTCCGACCTAAATCCACACAGCAGGCGGCCACCACTGCCCTGGAAGGTCCAGGCTGCCGACGGGCCAACTGGCAGGTCCAGTGCCCCCCCACACCCACCTGCCATAGTAGGGGGTCCGGGCAAGGGGGCTCCGCCCGCAGCAGCGCCCGTCTGGGGGGCACGGCGTGGGGGGACGGCAGCTGGCCGGGACCCTCCTAATTGCCCCATGTCTCTGGGGCCAAGCTTTAACCCGGGGACCCCTCTGTGTGGAGCAGAGGAGGGACTCGGGGTCTCAGTTGCAGGATGGGGGCCCGGGAGAGCCCCCGGCATGGGCACAGACCCCCCCCACTGTCCCTGTCTGCCGTCTGCGCCCGCTGGGGAGCAGACGGGGCTGGGGATCTTGCCCGTTGCCGCCCGGGGAGCCCCCTCGTTCCCTGCACTCAGGATTCTGAGTCTGTGGCACGCCCCCCCCTGCACCCCCTCGCAGACTCGGCCTCCCCGAACTCTGCAGCTGGTGTTTCTTGCTCGTCCTGTTGCACTCTTGGCCGCTGGGCCCCAGGGGTAGCCGGCCACGGTGCCCCCCCCCCCCCCACGTGGTGCGGTCTGCAGAGGCAGCGGAACTCGGGGGGAGGACGCCTCCTGCTCTGTGGGGCCTGCCCAAGGGCCAGCCACGCCCCCTCAGGGTTCGGTGGGGAGCTGGTCCTGCACCCCAGGAGCTGCTGTGACCCCCACCCGGCCGTAGCCGGGTCAGCACGGAGCCAGGCGGGCAACAGGCATCTCCACATGCCTGAACGTCGGCCTCTGACACCCGGTTCCGGCCTCAGGGATCCCCCCAGACTGCGTGCTTGGGTCAAGCCCCTGACTACTTGGGCCAGGGGAGCGGTCCTGGGTGGGCCTCGTCACCGCCACGGGCTCACAGTGTGTTTTGAAATAAATTCTGGTTTCTTATCTGTCAACGTCTTCCTTGGTATGCCCGCTGGGGTCAACGTCAGAGCAATGAGACAGCAGAGGGAGCGACCCAAGTCCCATCCCCGGCGCCCCTGCCAGGAGTGATCCCTGGGCACTGCCAGCTGGTGCCCTAGAAAGCCAAGAAACTCTAGCCCAGACCTGGCCCTTCTGGGAGAGAGAAGGGGCCCTGGGGGCTCCAGGGGCCCCAGAATCCCACCCGTTGCCTCCACACCGACAGCCCCACGGCTGAGTACTTGCAACCTGGGCGCTGGTTGGTGCTTTAGCTCGAAACCTCCATCCCTGCCTGTCTTCTAGCTCCGTCTGTGTTAATGTGTGCCTGCATGTCCCATGCCCGCCCTGGGAGCCCCCCACCCCCAGTCCAGCCCTGTGGGGTCTAAGAAATGGCCCCCAACCTGAAGCCCAGGCAAGCTGCTCGAATGTTTGTTTTTTCTTTTGTTTGTTTGTTTTGGGGGCCTCACCTAGCCATGCTCAGATCCTTCTGACTCTGCACTCCGAAGTCGCTCCTTTTTTTTTCTTCTGCTATCGCTTTTTGGGTCACACCCAGTAATGCTCAGGGGACACTCCAGACTCTTAGGAATCACTCCTCGGGGACAGTGCTCGGGGGACATACAGGACGCCGGCAATGGGCACTTGAACTCAGGTCTGCTGCATAAAGGCAGACCCCCTACCTGCTGTAGCATCGCTGTGGTCCAGAATGTTTCTTTTTCTTTCTTTTTTTTTAAAATGCTTTTTGGGTCACACCCCGTGATGCTCAGGGGTTACTCCTGGCTCTGCACTCAGGAATTACTCCTGGCGATGCTTGGGGGACCATACGGGATGCTGGGAATTGAACATGGGTTGGCCGCGTGCAAGGCAAACGCCCTACCCGCTGTGCTATCGCTCTGGTCCATGGCCTGGAACGTTTCTATCTGTGTTCTCTGGTGCGGGGGACAGAACCCAGGGCCTCTCACGTACAAGGCGAGTGCACAAGCTCCGAGCCAGGTCCCTACCCCCCACCCCCGCCTGCCTGTGTCCCAGGAAGCAGCACTACTAGAGCTGCGGTTTGGAAGAAGTGAGATGCGCCTTCCGTGCGCTTTGAGTCTTAGGGAAACGCTGCAGCCAGACCCCACGTTCATTGTATTTATTGTGTTGTTTTTATTTTGGGGACACACTCGGCGGTGCTCAGGGCGGACTCCTGGCTCCGTGCTCAGGGATCACTCCTGATGGGGCTCAGATGAGACGGAACCAGGGTCAGCTCCGTCAACCACCAACACGTGCAGTCGGCGCCGAGCAGAATCCCGGCCCCTGGCGGCTGACGGGAACGGATGGGGGGACACCCCGGGGGTTCGGGAGCTGTGGCCATGGGGGGGTGCAGGGGTAGCCACGCTCTGCCATAGTCAGGGTCACTGGGGGCAGCTCGGCCCCGTGCTGCCATGGACACCCGGGGACCAGGACTGGCCTGATTTGGGGGTCAGGGCTCTCAGGGTGGGGGACTGGTCTCGGGCGCCACTTGGTTATTTTATTGGGGGGGCGGGGGTTGGGGTCTCAGGGCCCAGGGCCTCTCCCGGTAACACTGGCCCTCTGGGCCACAGGGCTCAGCGCCCATGACTTCACACAGGGCAGCCGTGCGAGCCTCAGTTTCCCCATCTGGAGGACAGGCACAGGGTCGGAGGGGAACAGGGCGGCCATCAGCCAGCCCCCCCACCCCCTCTGGGGCGGTCGCCCCCGGGGTGACTGTCCCCTCTCCCCACACTGGGAAGCAGCATCTCCTGCTCTGGGAGCAGCTGCAGCCACTGGCATCTAGAATGTTCCAGGAGCACCAAGGGGAGACTCCTGGGCACTGTGCCCCCAGTACATGGATTGTTCCAGGTGGCTCCCGCCTGGGTCCAGCTGGCTGGCGGTGCCCGGGAGCAGATGCCAGAGGAGCAGCAGGAGAGCCGCTTTAGGGGACCCTGGGCCCCCCCGAGTTCAGGGCTAGGCCCGCCTCTGCTCACTCTGGGACTCTTACACCTCCCCCAGGCCTCAGTTTCCACAGCTGTCAGTGGGAGGGCGGGACCCTTGACAGCCAGAGCCGATGTCCTCTCAGGGCTCCCAATGTGGGGAGCAGCGAGGGGGGAGTCAGCCCTGCAGCGGGGGCGGGGGTGGACAAGTTCTCTGGGCACACTGGGGATGTGCCCAGGAAGTGGGAGTGGGCTCCCTGCTGCTCTGTCTGTCCTCGGTCCGCCTGGGCTGTCTGTCCCCTTCCCCTCCGGAGCAAGCCAGAGCACTTTACATGCCCGGAGCTGCTGATTGGTCCTGCTGGGCAGGTGGGGACTGGCTCCTGTGCAGAGATGCCCGGAGATGCCCAGGAGATGGTGTCTGTGTGTCTGTGTGTGTGTCCCTGGGTCCCCTGGGGGCAGGCAACAGGCTTGAGTGGGTTCGAGGAGGCCCACAGGAAGGAGGGGTGGACATGGGTCACAGACACCCCCAGTGGCACCAAGGTGGTGTTAGGGGGCCCGGGCCCCCCATCTCTGTCAGCTCTCAACCCCCAGATCCATCCCTTCCTGGGGACCCCCATGCAGAAATGGGATCCCATTGGCCAGAGCCATAGTCCAGCAGGGAGGGCGTTTGCCTGCACGCATCTGACCCGGGTTCAATTCCCAGCATCCCATATGGTCCCCTGAGCACCGCCAGGAGTAACTCTTGAGTGCAGAGCCAGGAGCAACCCCTGTGCATCGCCGGGTGTGACCCAAAAAGCCAAAAAAAAGCAAAAGTCAAGAAATGAAGTCCCCTTCCCTCTGAACCCCAAAGAAGTGGTGGAGGCAGAAAGGGTGTGAGGGGGTGCAAGGGGGTGCCTGTCTCTGGGTCCTGTGGCCCCCAGGAAGTCTCGGAGAGACTCTAGGGGACCTGCGGGCATAGGGTGGAGGGGACAGGAGAGGCCGGGGCAGGCTGTGGCCATTCCCAGGGAAGCC